ACTGCTCCCCCCACTCACCGGGAGAGCCCTCGCCTCCGGGGCGTTACGCCTGCTCTTCCCTCCTCCTGGAAGCAGCATTCTCCATGGTCTCTCCTCCTTAGGCCTCCACGGGAGGGTCCGCCCTGGAGAGGCCTTCCCTGGCCCTTCACACACCTGTCTTTGTCCTCCCACCTGCGCGTTTATTTTACTGGCATTTACACCATCTGACATGTTACGCACCCATGTATTTAGAGGCTTTTGGGGGTCACCTCTCCACAGAAAATAAACCCCACAAACACTTTGCTGATGTGACTTTGGCCCAGAATGGCGTCTGGCACCCAGGGGGGGCCTTCGCTAAATATTTGTTAAATGATGCCAGTGAGGGCGACAGGTGGGCCCCAGGGGGTTGCTGAGCCAGGCCTAGAATCACATGTGGGTTTCTGCAAACCTCTTGCGTGTCAGAATGCTGGACGAGGTCACATTCTGGACAGGGTGGGTCTCCTCAGCCCACAGTGGCTTTGCATCATCACTGCGCTCTCCTGCCAAATCAGACCCAGCACCAGATGACTCCAACCCAGCCTGATGGAAGGACATTCCTGCAGGACATTCGGCTCCATCCTGACTTTCAACAGGGGGCCAGAGGCCCTGGCGAGGGTGCCGGAGAGGGAGACAGGTTGAGCAGAAAGACGACAGGGGAGGCTGGGACGGGGCCAGGACCATCAGAGCCAGGCAAGGTGGGGAGATACGGCAGCGGGCTTTCTGAAATCTGAAGGTGAGTCTGGCACGAACATGAGTCCCTCCCAGGAGGGACTGCTGTCTATGGATAAGACTTCTCCCTGCATGATCACCCATTTGCTGATTCATTCCACGCACGTCAACAGGTACTGACTGAGTACGCACGATGCACCAGCGACTGTGCTAGAAATGGGGGTGCAGCTGTGAGCAAGGCAGGCCCCCACCCTCATGGACGCTCAGTCTGGGCCAACGTGGGCCGAGACCACAAGGCAGCATCCACAACAGGAAGGCAGCAAGGCCTCTTGTTAGTAAGGCGAACTCTCCAACCCTTCCCTTCCTCCCATGCTGCACCTGGGCAGAGTCCACAAACTCCAACGGCCACTGCGCATCCCCGTTGCTCTGTGTAAGGTTGCCAGCACAGCCCTGGAACCACTTAAGGAGCCAGTATCTGAGCTCTATGGCCATGGGTAAGTCATTTGAACTATCTGCACATTTTCTCTTCTGTAAAACGGGGCCCTTAATAGTGCCTGCCTTGAAGCATTGGTAAGAGGATCACAGGACATGCCTTTAAGCTGCCCGCAAAGCGTGCAATAGAGATCAAGTGCGCAACACCTGAGAGATTCTGAACGTTGCTATTGGTCCTTCTGACAAGTGTGGCAGAGGCCAAGCTGGGCGGAGAATGAAAAGTCCTTTTTTTAAAAAAAAAAAAAAAAAAAAAAAGATTTTATTTATTTAATTTTAGAGAGAGGGGAAGGGAGGGATAAATAGAGGGAGGGAAACATCCATGTGATTGGTTGCTGATGCAAGCCCTCAACTGGGTACCTGGCCTTCAACCCAGGTATGTGCCCTGCCTGGGAATCAAACCAGTGACCCTTTGGTTCGCAGTCTGGTGCTCAGTCCACTAAGCCACACCAGCCACGGCAAGAAGTCCTTTTTGAGGAAGTGAGCTGTATGCCCTCTTGTTATAGGTAGGGGAACTGAGGCTCAGAGAAAAGCAGGGCCTTGTCCAAGGTCACACAGCACGTCAGGGGACTCTAACTTGAATGCTGCTGCTTGGTCAGGCTCATTCCTACAGCCTTCTTCTGACCAACCTCGACCCTCCAGGGTACTAGGGTCCAGAGAGGGGTAGCTGTTGGCCATGTTTTCTGACCAGCTTGCCCCAAAGCTCCGACATTTACAAAACTCGCCAGTTGTTCTAGAGGCCAGGCAGGACACCCTGGTGCACAGCGCCACCTGGTGGTCAGAATTTCCCAGCAGGTCGCGGTTTCCAGGCGAGGCTGGGGCAGGATACATTAGTAGTGGATTCCTGGTCACTGTCCTCATGCCCCTCACTTTACAAGGGTTGTTCACATCCTTCTCGTATATCCAACTGCAGGGGAAGAAAGAAGAAAGAGGAGGAAAAGCACAAAATGGAAAAAGGAAAGAATATAAAGAGTCTTGCTCACAAACATACGTTGTGGAACAAAAGAATATATAAAACCTAGGAAAGAAAGAAAATGGAGGGAGGGGGGAGACAAAAATAATCAAGAAAGAGAGAGAAATAAAGAACAGTGAAAAAATAGAGGAAATATTCATGCCAAGCCAGACCGAGTCCAGCCTAGAAGCAGGGGCCAGTGTCCATCATCAAGACAACCCCAGGCCCTGGCACCACGCTGTCTTTGTTCCAAACGTGGGCACTCGGGAGCCAGTGTTTGGATTGGAAGCTGATAGGGAGGACTTGGCAGGATCGGCGGCCAGGTAACCTCCACCTCTGAGCACTTTGCAATCCTTGGCGCCACCTGCTGGATGGACATGGCACCACATTTATCCCCTGGAAGTTGAACTGGGAGCCCTAGAGACTGCTGGCCCCCAGCAACGCAGCCAGGTGGATGTCATGTCTCCATTTCCCGGAGAAAGAAAACGAGGCTCCTAGAGAGCCGGGGACTTCCCGAGAGATGACCACTCAGCAAGTAGAGAAGCCTTGCAGTCCGGGGGCAAGCGAGGGTCTCTGATTTCGAAGGTCTGTCTTAGTCCATGCCCTCTCTGCCCTGAATTATCCAGCCTCGCCCCTGAACAAAGCCAGGCACAGAGCAATGTGGTTGGAGGTGCAAGCTCTGGCTGCTTGACAGTGGAAGAAACGGAGGCTCAGATCCATTCAGACACCAGGTCCCAGCTGTCGTCCTGGGGGAGCAAGAACTGAAGGTCTGAGACTCATCAGCTGTAGGGCTTCGCCCACCCCTTGATGTGTTCCATCGCCCAGCACAGCAACTCCTGGCCACCAAGTCCTCCCTCAGCCAGCATCCCGACGGCGACTCCAGAGCTGAGGACCTGGGCTGACCAGAAGCCAGCTCCCGCCACACTCACCTGGGCAGGGCCATCCCAGAGCCGGCGGGTCAGATAAAGGAGCCCGGCGAGGCTGTGGGGCTCTGGGGTGCTGGGGCCCTGCCCACAGGCTGTGCCACTTCTCAGCTCCGGTCGCCAGGGGCCCTGGCGGGAACGTGGGCCAGTGCCACCGGAGCTTCTGAATTTTCACGAAAAACCAAAAGTCAGAATTTGGACGCGAAATCTGTTGGTTCTTCAATGTGAATGTCTAGTTCAAAATTATAAAAACACCATTATCGGGGGGGAAAAGAAACATCGATGTCCACATCCCAGCTGTTGGCCTGCCGGCTGAGGCCTCTCGTCTCCTGCAACGCACCCTGCTCACGCTCCGTTTGTAGCTGTGACAAAGGCTCTCTGGAGAGGGAAGCCTTCACCGCCATATTGCAGAGGTGGCCCTGTGTCCGAGAGATGTGACTTGCTCAAGGCCACGGAGACCCCACTCCTCAGCTCCCAACCAAAGCTGCCTTAGTCCATCACTGCAGGAGGTCTGCCCCTTGGTCCATCACTGTTCTCCTCGCAGGCCCCCAGGGTGCAGAACAGGCAGAATGGCTGCCTCCTGTAACAGTGTCTGCCCGGAGGCGGGCACCAAGTCCTCCCTGTGGACCCCAAGCATGGGCTGAGGTGACAGCCCCGCTCTTAGAGTGGTCCTTCTGGATCCAGAACTGGCCTCAGAAACTTCCAAATCGCTAGCCCGTCCCTGTGCCGAAACCCCACCAGGATTCACCCCCGCCGATCCCAGTGTCGAGGCTTTGAAACCCGCCAGGGAAAGACACCGGGCTCCCTCCGGGAGAGAGCCCGTCCGGGCCTACAGGGGTGAGCGCTGGCCCAGGCTACTTCGGAGAGAAGAGAGATTAAAAGGGAATGGGCTCCTGTCTCAAATGGCAGGACCGGCGTGGGCATCAGGAGGGTCCCGAGGGTGGCCATAACCGTGGGTGTGATGAAGAGCAGGGCGTTTTCACAGATGTCGGTGCTTCCCAAAGTGGGGCAAGGGAGGGAAAGAGGAGGGAAGGGGGAGAGAGAGGAGAGAAGGGGGAGAGGCGGGGCTGGGAAGGGCAGGAGCGGGGGCGGGGGGTGGGGCAGGGGGCGGCAGGCAGCGGGTAGCTTAGCAAATCTGCAGGTCAAAATCTGCCCAAGGAACAAGACTGGCCTGCCTGGGCAGACGGACCCAGGCAGCTTCATAAAGGCGGCCTGAGCCCAGGCAGGTGAGACCCAGCTCAGAGCCTGGGGCCTAGTCCGGAGGCTCAGGTATGCACGCGCAGTGTCTGCGCCTGTGTGTGTTATGACTGGGCGGTTTGTGGCCAGAATGGATTCTGATTGGACGAGGAGCAGTCCCAACAGTGTTGAGTATTTGGAACTCCATTCCAGCCCTCATCCCAGATCCGATTCCAGACCCAAATGGGCCTTGCAGGTTGGGGCAGAGGATGGCTCGGTGACTTCCCTTGGACCTCCCTGACACCTGGGCATGTGTAAGACCAGGAACTCTGGCATGACACCCAGGAGGGGGTGGGGAATACCTGGGAAAAGAGCCCCATTTTTCTACCATCACAGTGAAATCGGAGGTCAGAATCCAAAGTTAAGGTGGAATACAATATGAAGGCCATTATTTTCCTGGCGCACCTGAGGCAGAAACCTGCAGTGTAATCCTGGGCGGTCCTCACCGCTCCTCTGTAAAGGAGAATATACACTGTCCTTGTCTTACAGGAGGAGACTGAGGCTCAGCGGGGTAACATCGCTGGCTAGGGGTCACCGGCTCAATGGCCTCCATGGGAGTCTTCGAGGTCTTGGTTCATTCCAACGTGAGGCCGACCACTCCACGCCCACGCCACCAAAGTCAGCCCCAAAGGAACCACAGATCAAAGTATTTGTATTATAAACTGACTTTTAATAATAATAAAAAATCTATCATGAATCTGATGAGCAGAATCTGTACATTTTAAAGTAAACCAGTGCACGAAGCCTTGGCCTCGGGAGCCCCTCTCGGAGCCCCCGCGGGGCTGAAGCAGGTCCTGCCGGTGCCCGGCTCGCCAGGGCCCAGCAACAAGCCCACGCCTTGCCGTCTAGTGCTCAGGAAGGCGGCCCCGGAGGCCAAGGGGCCAACGCACTGGCGGGGCTTCGGGAAACCCCCAGCTATCTCACCACCAGCCAAGGGCAGGGAGACATCCCCCCTCTTCCGCCTCAGCTGTGACATTTCCCCACTGGAGACCAGAAGCTGGAGGGGACACACTGCGGAGGGGGTCCCCGTGTGGGTCCCTGTGCCCACGCGGGCAGGTTGGCTTCCTGTCTCCCTAGCTGGCTGAAAATTCCTGAATGTTCGGCTCTGAGCTAACATCAAAAAAATAGATTACAGAAGCCACCATCCAGGGGTTCGCAGTGGCGCTCCCACCTGCAGGACACACCCCTGCGTGGGACAGCATCTCACGTGGGTATTTCGACCCCCTCCAGTCCTGGCCCAGCTGCCTCTCGCATCCTTACAGCCAGCCATTCAGAGAGAGTAAAGTAACTCATTCCAGCACTGACCAGCTGCGGGGGAACCAGAGGCGGGATGGGGGGAGAACCAAAATTCATACTCGGAAGCGATACCATATGACCCTAATATTTAGAAAGATGAAATACATTTTTTGAATTTTCAATAATTTAGTTTTTTTTTTTTAGTAGAACTGGAAAAAGTTGTCAATACTACCTTGTGTTGGTCCCCTGTTAGACAATATACCTTTCTTTGACATTTAAAAAGTCAAAGATATAATCACACAACCTGGGAAAAGAGTCTCAACACCACGAACATAAAACTGCAAAATAAACCATAGAGATTTCACGCCATATAAATAAAGTCAGAGCAAATCTCGTGCCCAGGGCTGATGGCTCAAGTCCCCACGGCGGAGCTGTCGGAAGCTGGTGTGGCTTTCGAGTGTCCTCTTGGTGACAGGTGTTGTGCCCTGTCCCTCTGTCTCTCCTGGCAGAGGCCCGCTTTTCTGAGTCCACCGAGCAGGTTAGTACAGGGTTAGGGGTGAATCTGGAAGCTAAGGTGGGAGGCGGCAGAGACATGGGGGGCACCTGGAATGTGGACTTAGAAGGAAACCCGGAGTTCTGAAAGTGCACGTTGAGCCATCCCGAGGGGCCGGGTGTGCGGCCTCCAGCTGCAGCGCCCGTGACTTCTCCTGTGTCCCAGGGACTTAGGGGCAGGAACCCTGGCCCCAGGTGCCCCCATCAGCTCCGTGGGTCCCCAGCACCCCACAGGTTTCTGGCGGAAGCATGGAGAAGGCGCTGGCCCCAGGCCCATCAGCCAGCTCACCGGAGAGCCGGGGACACAGCCTGTCCTCGCAGGAGGTGATGAAAGGCTGGGCAGATAGCAGAGCAGGTGGGAGCGGAGGCCGCGGGCTGGCTCTGGAGCAGGCCGGACTGACCCTGGGTCCTCCCAAGTCCCAGCTCCAGGGGACGCGGCCAAGCACCACGCAACCCAGTGCTCAGAGGTCCCCATCCACCGGCGGCTGGCAGAGGCGGTAGAGCCTGGGGAGGGGGGAGGGAGGTGAGGAGAAGCCAGGGAGGGCCGGGCCTGTTACTTCCATTTTTATTGAACAGGTAACCCGTGCCAGAAAACCGAACTCAGCAGATATTTTTAAAAATACCGAGTGACAAATATTTATGCTGCCCACACTTCCCCGGCTACCTAGTCCCCTCCCCACAGTCTCTGCTCCCCACAGGCAGCCGCGGCTTTACAAATACAGCCAGTCTGCACGTCTGGGTTAAGATACGTGTGTGGGTGTGTGTTTACATGTGTAGGGGGTGTACGTTTTTCCACACTAATGGTGGCAAACTAGTCACCGCACTGCAGCCCTTGAGCTTTTCTGCTTAATATTCATCTTGGGGGCCTCTCCCTGAGCGCACAGGAGAGCTGCTTTGGTTTCCTTAACGCCTGTACCGGAAGGACACTGAGTTTCAGCGTCAAGTAAGGAGGAGCCAGGAATGGGCTCCAGCAGGAGCAGCAGGTCTGTGGGGAAGATGATGGCAGGGGGACCAGAAAGCAGTGGCTGCGGTGACAGGGACACAACAGAGAAGCGAGGTGGCACGTCGGCCCCCAGGCCTAGATTGCCTCGGTCCGAGTCCGGGCTCTGCCACAGACTAGCTGTGTGACCCCAGGCAGGACACTTAACCTCTCTGTGCCCCAGTGGCCCCAACTGCCAACTGGGGATGTGAACAGTATCTTGCTCACAGAGTTACCATTGCAGACAACACAGATAGAGATTGAGTCAGAGCCTGGAGGGGGTTAACAGATAAAAGTATCCAAAAGCAATGAGGGTAAAAGAATGCGTGGAAAAACTGGTGACACACAGCAAGGTGTGCGTGGGAGCTGCTGTAGTCACCAGCGCCGTTTCCCGGCTGCGACAATGTCCTGTGGTCACATGACAGCTGAGTGTGGGCACGAGGGAACTCTGTACTACTTTTGTAACTTCCTGTGAGTCAAACTATTTCAAAATGAAGTTATTTAAAAATCGTGGACAGATGTTGCTGACAAACTGGGGCAGTGGGGATGGAGACAGCTGGGCTGAAACCAGAGTGGAGGGACAAGGGGTCGTGCGCGCAGGGAGCGGCAGGCGGACTGGCCCACGGGTAGCAGGCGGCAGAGAAAGGGCCGTGCAGCACGTGGGGATCGCACCGCGTCCTTGCCTGTGACTCACCTGGGGGCTTTGATTCACCTTCCCAAAGTGGGAGCTCTTCTGAGGAGTAACACACTAAGTACATTTGTTGCTTCACAAAGCGGGACCCCCATAAACGAGAGGTGGGGCCCCGTGTGACCACCAGGGCGTCTGCCTGGGGCGAGGCCAGGAGTTTGATGCCAGCTCGGGTCCTGGCCTTCCCAGGCGGAAGAAGAAGGGGGCGGTACTCACCGCGGTGCACCCTGGGGCATCTGATCCTTGACCCGCAGGTTTTTGGCCAGAATCTCCACCCTGGGGCCCTGAGGAAAGAAGTGTGAGACTGAGACCTGCCTCTGCACTGAGTTCAGGGCACTTGAGCAAACTGGGGGGCGGGGGCGTGGCGCTGGGGGAAACGGTAGGTAATAGCCCCAGAAACGGAAATCCCAGGCCACCCCCCAGATGGGGAGAAGGGCCATAGGTGGGGCTGATGACCGCCTGTTCCCGAGGGTTCCTCGTCCTGCCCTCAGCCCAGGACGCCCAGGCCAGGGTGCCCTGCAGCCCGGGGCGCCGCCCACCTGCTTCCGCATGATGTCCGTGGCCTGCATGATGCACTTGGGGAGCAGCCCGTGGCTCCGCGCCAGGATGGCCGCCTGCTCCAGGGAGACACTCAGGGTGCTCCTGCAGGGAGGGGCGAGGGGGACGGCAGGTGAGGCGGGGACTTCCTGCCCTACCTCAAGAGGCCCCCCACGCCCAGGAACCTGCCACCACCCCAACCACCATGGCCTGGCAGGCCCCTGGCCTCACATCCTCCCGTCCCTGTCCCCACACAACTGCTGGACTCACTCCCTACGCCCAGGTGTCTTCTCTCCAAGAAGACCCCCCCACCCACACGCTGCCACACAGAGCCAGTGTCTGGCTGCTCACTCCCTGCGCCCCTCGAACACGGCAGCGGCATGCAGCAGGCTCCTCTCCCCCTGGCCTCTGTGGCCCCCGGGGCCCAGCCCCAAGCTCACCTCTGCATGCCGGTGCCGCACATGGCGATCTGGCACGCCCCCAGGCGGTAGCAGAGCTCGGAGGAGATGGGAATGAGGCCGGCCCCCAAGCTCCCAGGGGCACCAGGTTTGGGGTGGACAAAGGACTTCATGAGACGACAGAGCTCGTCCAGGGCGTTGATGGGACGTATCAGCTGTGAGGTACGCACACAAACACCCCGACAGTTGGCGGGGCCCCCGCCCGGCCTTCCATCCCGTCCGCTCCCTCCCGCCCACAGCTCAGTTACTGCCCCTGTCCTCCCAGCTCCCCTCACGGGGGGGTTACAGCCCAATTAACCTTCCCGACCCCTGCCCAAGGGCCATCTGTGGCTCCCCACTGCCCCACAAGCTGGCGTTCAGCGTTCACGATGTATTTCAGGCCTAACCTTCAAATCTCGTTCTCTTCACCTGCCCGGGTGTGCCCCCAGCTCAGCCTTTGCCAGCGCGAGCCATGCCTCCGGCGGGGGGGCCTTCCTTCTGCCCAGCTGCCTCCCCTGCCCCGTGGAGGCACAACAGGCTGGTTTGCCAGGTCTCTCCGTGGCATCTTCTACAAACCCCCCGCCCAGACTACAAACCCCCCACGGGCTGTGCCCTCTGCTTCTCTCGGAGCCCCCGCCTCACAGCCCCAAGGCCAGTGCCCACAGGCCGCTGTCAAATCCGAGGCCTGCCTGAGCCTGGGAAGAGGGCGGCAGGCCTGGAGCACGTGCCCTCGGAGGGCCAACCGTGACACGTGGCAATGAGGGTCCTGGACGGCCAGATCTTTCTATGCCTCGAAGGCAGCGAGAAGCCTCCATTACATGGAAGTCTTTTGATTTTTAAACGCTGGGAACAAATTTGAAACAAGCAAATAGAAAGAACCCTGCAGGGCTGCAGCTAGCCGAGCCTCAGAGAAATGCTGCGATAAGTAAGTGGGGTCAGGGGGCACCACAGAGGGCTCGAGGCCGCTCTGCCAGGACTCCGGCTGGGCGCCACCCGGAACCCTGGCAGCTGAGTCTTGACCCGAGAGCGCCGAGCCCTGCCCGAGCCCCACAGCAGGGCGACACACGGGTGCACGCACCTGGTCGATCTTCACCGCCGTGGTGCTGGCGTCTGTGGGCAGGTTAGACCGCTCCAGGTAAAACGCTCTGAGAGAGGAAGACGTGGGTTGGGGGGACCGCCAGGCCCACCGTGCATGCAGCCCCTGCCCCCACTGCAGCTGCAGCCCAGCTACCCCCCAGCAACCCCCAGAGAGAAACCACCAAGAGCGCCTTGCACAGCTCTCCACACCCACAGTCACCCGTTCCTCCAACAGCCCCGGGGGGACGCGAGAAGGGGCCTCGCAGGCACCCCTCAAATGCCACTTCCCTGACTGCCTGTCCTGATCAGGTGATCTGCACTTGACGCCCCCACTCTCTAGGCCCTTGTCCTGAGTGTCTGTCTTCTGAACGCTCTCCCCACTTGGCCTGTTACACCGTTCTTGGTTCACTGGTTTACTGTTCGATTCCCGGTCAGGGCATGTATCTAGGCTGCAGCTTCGGGCCCCAGCTGAGGCACCTACAGAAGGCAGCCGACCGATGTTTCTTTCTCACATCGATGTCTCTCTCCCTCCTTCTCAACCCTCCTTCCCCTCTCTTGAAACCCTCTCTCCATCTCTCTCTAAAAGCAATGAAAAAATGTCCTCGGGTGAGAATAAAAGTTTTTTTTTTAAGACGAAGCTTTCCTGGTCACTGCTGACTCCCAAGCAAGCACCCAGAACAGAGCCTGGCCCACATATCGAATGAACAAAGGGATGGACGAACGGTCAGAGATGCACTATTTTACACATTTGACAAGCAGCATGGCACAGATTGAGAGCATCAATCAATCCAGAGATGCCAGTTTTAATAACAAAGCTGGATGCTTTCCCTGAAGGCAACGGCCTCCCATTTCCAGGGAGGGAGAAGGCAAGGAGAAGGGGGAGGGGGAGGGAAGTGGGAGGGGAAGCTGCTTCCCTGGGTCTGAGGCTCCCTCCTGACCAACGTGGCCCCCGCTCCCCCTACTTCCTTCATGGGGTCTCTGCGGAGCTGGGCCAAGGCCTTGGGGGCCACACCCCTTACAGTCTTCAGAATCCCACCCGGCTCCCTCCCCCATGTAAAATGAAACAGGCAGCTCCCCTCAGCTGGAAGGACCTGTTTAGAAGCCAAAGAGACCCAGCTCCAAGCTCAGTTCAGCCACCTTCTGACTGTGTGGCCTCGGGCAAGCCGGGTACACACTCTGGGCCTCAGTTTCCTCATCTGTAAAGTGGCTTAGAATGGCCAGCTGTGGCTATGGGGAGAGTCTGATGAGCATGTTTGGCAGCAGGCCTGGCACATAGTAGGTGCTCAGGAAAAGGCATTCTGGCCACTCCCACGCTGGGGGGACTATCTGGTGACTTATACGCTGATACCTAGTCCCCGTAAATCTGGATTCCTGTCCCCAACATGTAGCCCAGGCAGGTACCTGAGCTTGCGGTAATACTGCTGAACCTTCTCCAGGGACTGGGCATTGATCTCCTGCTGCAAATCTTCCGCCGCCTGGCTGCCTGGAGGAGGCGGCCCCTCCACGTTCTCCAGGGCTGCGAAGAAAGAAGCGGGAGGGCAGAGGGTGGGGTCCCGGGGTGCTCGGAGCCTGGGCTACCCACCGCAGGCCCCGCTCTGCACCCCACTGCTCACCCTTCGTGAAGAGCACGGTGTGCAGCCTCAGGCTGGCCCCACTCTCCAGGCGGGAGGGCAGCTTGGAGAAGTGGTAGCTGTCGAGGTAGAAGACGACCTTCAGCGCCTGCCGGCTCCCCTCAATGTGGTAGAAGACATTGGTGTCTGTTGGGGGACAGGGCGGAGCGGTCACCACCAGGCCTAGGGGAGCGCTGCCCACCTGCCCACCTGCGTTAGGGCGGCTGCAGACCTCCGCTCACACCTCCACTAGGGCGTCCTGGGATTCCCCCGTTTCCCCACCCCAAAGCAGTCACCTCAGACCCCTTTGTCGCCCCACGTTCAGGGTGGCATCCTGGGACGTCCCTGCCTGCCCACACCAGAGCAGCAGCTTCAGACCTCCCCGTCCTCCCACCCTCCAGGGGTGGTCTCAGAGAGCCCGGCCCTCAGACGCTCAGAAGAGCAGCCTCTGACCCTCCCCCCTTTCCGCCTCTTTCAACAGGTCCCAGTTCCCACTGCTTAATTCTCAGACCTGACGCTGGCTCGGCCCAGCGGGGGGATTGTCCGTGTTTGTCTTCAGGGCCTCACCAGTGCTCCCTGTACCCCCCGAACCTGGCAGCCCAGGGCAATGCTGCCCTCAGATGGGGCCTGCATTTATTCACACCCTTAGAGACGAGCTTATGGCAGGCACAGCACCAACATCCCATCCAGCGCCCAGGGCAGACATCACTAATCAATCTGAGCCCAACTTGGCCTACTCATAGGCAGGCAGTTGCTGGCCATCCCTTCCAACTGGTGCCCAAAACAAAACCTACTGTCCCTCTAGACTCTCACACATTCTCAACAGGGCGATATCAGCCCCAAGGAGGGGAACATTGGTTCTAGAGGGGATATCAAAAAAAGAAAAGTACTCTTTTTATGTATAAAACACAGATATACCTACGGTACACAGATATATAATACATCTATGGTACTAATATTCAATGGGGGTGCAGCAATTAGGGAAAAAATCGATCTGAACAGACTCTCCGTGGAGGTGGTAATTTTTTACACATTGAGAATCACTGATCCAGAGCAGTGGCTCTCCAACGAGTGTGCTCAAGGTCCCCGGGGGGCTTGTCAGTAGAGATCTATGGGCTCTGCTGCTGGAGCTCCGGGTCCGGGTCTGGGGTGGAGCCGGAGAACTCGCCTTTCTCGCAGGGACTGCACTCGGAGAGCCACGGCCCCGCGGCCCGGCCCCGCGGTCCTCAGTCCGCGGCCCACCAGCCACCTGGGAAGCTCTGCTAGAACGCGAGGGCCCAGGGTCCACCCCACAGAGGGGATCCGCCCTGCCAGGGCTGGGACGGGACTGGGGCACCGGTGTCTTTGCAGAGCTAGATGCTCCCAGTGCAGCCAGGGCGGAGTCCCACAGGGCTGGCCTGTGGCTCCAGGGGCACAGGGATCGCAGCCGTATTGGGGCCCCAGAACTGAAAACGGGGCCTGACACATATTATGCGCTCACTGTATGGACGTGCGGATGGACGGGGAAGGGGCAGGCGGGTAGGTGGGACGGAGGAGGGGTGGACGGGTACGCAGACGGATGGGGGGGGCAGATGAGTGAGTGGGTGAACAGTGGCAGGGTTGAAGGAAGAGTGGCAGGGGGGAAGGAAGAAAGGAAGAACCTTATAATAATGTTATAAATTCTTAGAAAACCTTAACAAGTCTCCACCCCAATAATGGATATCTTTAGAAATTTTAATAAGAACTGGGTACTGGTTGTTCCCTTTTAAAAGCTTTTGGAGACAACTGGGTTTATACAAAAAGAGACCCCCTTTTTCCATGTATGTTGGGAGCATGAGGCTTGAAGGCACTGGGTCCCATGCCAACCTTGCGCAGCTGGCCTGGCGGCAGGGTGGCCTGCGAAGCAGTCCCTTCCACCCCAGAACCCTGACTCTCACGGTGGGGGTGGGAGGAGTCACTCACTGGCCACGTGGTTCTCGTCCAGCTGCTTGAAGGAGAAGGTGACGCTGTCCAGCTCTGAGAGGGTCACCCAGATGTCCTCCAGCATGGTCCGCTCCTCCTTCTGCAGGAGGGAGACAGGGCGGAGGGGTCTCAGGTGCCACCGCTGCCCCAGGGCTTCCCTTCAAGAGGCTGTGACTCAACTCCGGTCGGCACACCAGGCTGCGGGCCCAGCGGGCGCGAGGTTCCGTGCTGGGCCCTCCAGGGCTGGATGCGAACTTGTGTTTGCTCGTCCCGCAGCCCCCAGCTCAGAACCCGGCTCCGCTCTAATGCGCTGGGCAGCCCTCTTACCCAGCCCACCCCAGCAATCGCACGCAACCACCTCAAACCTGGCCAGCCCAAAGCAGTCCCCTGTCCCTCCTCATCCCCCTCCAGGTGGCCCGGTCTCGGCAAAGCGCACCAGCATCCGTCCAGCAGCCCAAGCCCCAAAGCTCTGACTTGAAGGACTTCTTGACCTCTCTCTCCCCTCGCCCTATACCCGGTCCATCATCAAGTCCTGATGGGTTGACCTCCAAAACGTACCCCAGGCTCATCTACCTCCCCCAACCCTCCTCACCATCCCCAACACAAGGAGGACCACCTCTGCCTCTTCACAGGTCCCCTGTGCCACCCTCTCCCTCTAGCAAGGCACAGCCCGGGATAACCCCGGAGAAGCGGGGAGAGCAGGGCAGCCTAGGGGTCACTAAGCCTAGAGTCAGACCCTGGAGTCCACTGTGACTGCAAGGAATCTTTGAAAAACTTGACTTACGTTACACACCTGCTCAAAGCCTCCGAACCCTCCCTCTGCTTCCACAATAAAGCCCCAGGCCCTGCAGACAAGGCCCCGCTGACCTCATCCCCCAAACCCCTGGCCTGCTCCCCTCTGGCCTCACTGGCCTCTGTTCAGGACCTTTGCACATGTTGTTCCCTCTGCCCAGCACACTCTTCCTCGGGCCATTTACCTAGTGGGTGTCTTGGTACTCAGGCCTCTCAGCTCAAAGCTCACCCCCCTGGCACTTCCTCAGGCCATCTCGGACCATTTCAATCTAAAGCTCAATCACGTCTGACCCTCTGCATAACCTCCCTCTTTCCCTCTCTCTTCCGCTTCCTTCCTTCCTTCTTTTCAATCTGCTTCTCCCCACTAGAAAGTGAGCCTCAGACACCCCGCGCCCAGCTCAGGGCCTGGCGCTGCGCGGTGACTGGTGACTAAGGCACTGGGCCCCAGGGTTCTCATCTGAGGACAGAAGGTGAGGGCTGGGTGTTCCTGGCTGCCTTTCCAGGCACCGCAGCCGGTGGTACTCTCCAGGAAGCAGGTGAGCGCGGATCTGCGGCCAGACAGCGCCTGTGTGCAAAGTCGACCAGCAGGGGGCACACGAAGGCCATGCTCTCCCAAGAGCCCCCAGCAATGGCTTTGAGCCCTGCCTGGGAAAGTGTCTAGGACGCTCAGGGCTGCAAGGGCGGGGAGCTCAGGCCTGAGCACCCGGAGTGCAGGAGCAAACAGCACAGAGCAATGCTGCAGGCTTCGTTTCCGGGGAACATGGGCTCTGGGCCCCACACCGCTGAAAGTTGAGTCCTTGGTTCTGCCTCTTGGGGGCCAGCAGACGACGGGCCCTGATCCTGAGCCCCGACAGTGGCGGGACAGTGGCATCAGGGTGAAGAGGAGATGCAGAGGGAGCAGGGCAGCCTCGGGGGTGGCGGGCCTGGAGTCAGGCTCCCAGAGTTCAAACCCGCTGCCCCGGCCTCAGGGTGTGCGTGGTGAGAAACCCGCCTCAGGGCGACTGCAAGGATTACCAACGGAGGTTCTGCCTGCACCAGGGATTTCACCTGCATTATTACAGAAGCATCCTCGCTGGCCTCCAAGCTTTGCCTGCAGCGCCTTCCCCACCCAGGAGCTCAGTGATTCTTTCAGGGCCAATGTCAGATCCCATCCCTCCTCTGCTCAAGCCCCTCCCAAGGCTCACGGCCACTCAGAGCAACGGCCAAAGCTCTGCAAGACCCCAAACAATTCTCAAGACTCACCTCCCCCACCCCCTGCCCTGGCTTATTCCGCTCTAGCCAGTGTGTCCTCCTCAGACATTGCCTCTGGGCCTTTGCACCTGCTAACTTCCCAGCCTGAAAGGCTCCTCCCAATATCCTCAGGGCTCCCTCCCACCCCCCTTTCAGTTCCTAGGTCAGAAGTCACCTTCCTGGCAAGGCCCTCCCTGGCTACCTTATTGAAGCTTTCAACGGCTGCCGCCCCCCACTTCCTGTGCCCTTCCCTGCCTGATTTCCTCCTTAGCCCTTATCACTATATACAAGGGTTTCTCAAATGTGACACTATTGACATTTAGGGGCAGGTAATTCTCGGGTTGCGGGGCGGGGTGGGGGGGGACTATCCTGTGCGTTGTAAGATGTTTAGCGGCATCCCTAATCATTACTCACTACACACCAGGAGGGTGTCCTCTCCCCTTGTCGTGACAACTGACACCGTCTCCAGACATTGCCAAGTGTCCCCTGGGAGGTAAAACTGCCCTGGTGGAGAACCCCTGGTCTACACCACTTACTTTACTTATTGGTTTATGTCCACCTCCCCCACTAAGTTTTAAGATCCCTAAGTACAACTCTGCTTTGCCCCCCGCTGGATCCCCAGTGCCTGCAACAGTGGCACATAGTAGATGCTCAATAAAGAGCTGCTGAATGCACAAGGCGAGCCTGAGTGAGTAGGCGGGAGCTCCCTTGCCCAGGCTCCCAGCGCACCTGTCCCTCTTTGCCCCACTCACCACGGCGGCCGGCGACAGCAGGGACTGGCAGTGCAGGAGGACTCCGGTGGCTGCCACCTGCTCCAACCACTTGCGGCTGGCATCCCGGCTGCTCTCCTCGTACTCGCCGTTGTTATTGTAGCGGTAGCTGAGGGCCGCCAGCAGCTGCTCGGACAAGGTGCACACGGCGGCCACCAGGGCCTGGCAGAAGATGGTGTCCCTCCGCAGCTGCACCTCGGTGTCTGTGGGGCAGGGAGGGGCTTGCTGGGCAGGGGCTCCTGCGCCACCAGCAGCCCCAAGGCCCAGAGCCAACCCCCGGGGCCCAGCGGGACGCCTATCTGGGGCCAACTTGCCAGAGGCCAATCCCAGCCACCAAAAGCCAATACCGCAAAAATCAATTCTCCAAAAGCAAGCCAATTTGCTGAACAACTCAACTCTCTGACTTATCTGCCTTGTGACTTTCCGACGGCTTTCTCAAAGCCCTCACTGGGCTGTGTCTCCATCGGTGCGGGAGTCTCTCGACCTTTCCTGGCTGGGGACCGACCGATGGCACCAAGCAGGTCTGCCATACTCCACGTTGTAAGAAACGTAGTTTACCGTTTTCTCTATTTTTGAGAAGCGTGACTTCTTCCTGCCTACCCCTTCCTTGCCCCTGCTCTTGACATGGGTTGCAGAACTGGCCAATTTCAGGTGATCGCTCCTCCAGGGTCCCAATGGGGAGGGATTATTTTTGATGACTGGCTCTGGCCAACTGATTTTCAGTGACCAACTCTGACCTAGATCCTATCCTGGCTGCCCCTTGGCAGAGAATTTCCGAAAAGAAGGGATCTCATCAAGATCTGCCCAGTCTTGGGAGGTGGCAAGACACGGGGCTCCTGGCTCCAGGACCCTGAGACTCGTCCCCTGGACTCAAGAGGAGGAAGCAAGTGAGGTCTGCCTAGTTCTTAGAGGTGTGAGGGGCAACAGCGGCACACGCCCCGCCCGCCGTGTGCAGGCCCCGATGACCATGGGAACATCAACCTCAGCCGGCAGAAGAGGCCTCCCCGGGCTGCAGTCCTGAGCGCCCGCGGCCAGGGTGGCCTCTCCCGGGTGCACCTGGGCGTGTGCCCGACACGGACGGTTGCTGCTTCAAAGCCCTCACCTGTGCACTTCAGCAAGGCCAGGAGCAGCTGGTTCTTCCCATCTGGAAGGAGGAGGAGTCAGAAAAAAGGAAGGGTAGAGAGGAGTCAGCACAAGATTCAGGCAGAACTGGGCCCTCCCTGCGGCCCAAGCGAACCCTGTGCAGTGAAGCTCTGGGGACGATGGCCACGTACAGCTGGGCTGAGGAGCTCTGAGGAATGTTGGATGAAACCCAGAAACCCCCAATTTCCAGGGGATGGAACTCAACTGTTACCTGCGTCCCTGCTGTTTATATACACCCACCAAAGAGAGACTACAACCAGCCTCTCCAACTCCTGGGCCAGAGTCCGCAGCCCACACCTTGTACATGCATGTGGGCACACGCTTACATGCGTGCATACATACAGGTGCACAGCAGCTCACGCAAGCAGTCAGGCACATAGGCACATTCTACATAGCCGCAGCCCTGCACACGTGTAGCCAAAGCTCAGACCTTCTGCTCTCTTTTCTTAAAACAAAAAAAAATTTTTTTTTTTTAAAGGGTTCTTAGGACCAGAAGGGGCAAAAAGAAAAATATGAAAGGCTAGCACATAGGCTGCTGCTCCCGGGGGAAGGGTCCTGATCAAATGCCCCCCTGGCCCAGGGTCCTGCTGAGCCAGGAGTCCCAGGCTTAAATGCTGCCAAGGGCCAGGCAGGCACCATCAATGTCACCTGCTTCCTGTGAGGCAGACATTCAGAAGCAGGGAGTGATGGGGACTCCCCCACCCATGACGACAGCTGCCACTCATCACACATGTGTGACTGCGGTGCCAGATCCTCTGGCTGTTCAAGAGCAGCCAGAAATCTAGATTTTTATGTGGTATCTCTGATAATAAAACCCTGGCAGCCGATTCACTTTTTTTTCTTTTTTGTTAATGCTATAGTATCAAAACCTGTGAGCCCAAGTCTGATCAGGGAGCCTCCAGCTCGTGACCTTAATAATGAAGAAAAGGAACTGAATCAAATCCAGTTTCGGAAGCTGAGAAGGAATAAGCTCGGCCTTCGCAGCTTCCTGACTCTGCACAAATCCAGCAGTGCCTGGATCAGGGGTGTAGGGCCCCCGGGCAAGATGCTCGGCTGAGAAAGGGGCACCAGCTCTTCTCGTCCTCCCCTGGGCACGGAGGGACAATGGGACGTGGAGGTGGACCCACTCCTGATCCTGCCACAGGCCACATTAAGAACCAATGGCCACCAACCCCCCCCCCCCAAGTTACCCTTCCCTGCCCAACTGACCTTCCACGTATTTCTGAATGTTGTCCACCAGGGTCTTGATGGAGTTGGGGAGGTTCCAGGGGTCCTCCTGGATGCTGATCTGGATCAAGTTCCGGCCACGGATTGTACAATCTTCTTTCTGTTTGAACTCTGGGGCAGGAGAGTGGCATGAGGACAGGAAAGGGACAGAGGTAGCTTTGGAGAACGGTAATCCAAACGCCTGTGTCCGATCACCACATTCCAAGGCTCAGAATCCGAGATCAAGGATGCTAGCAGGTCCATGGCAGGTGGAGGGGCAAATACATGGTGAGTGTGCTACCGAGTCATAGTACCACACTTGTGGCAGACATCACTCATCAACCTCGGCACTCCTTCCTCCTAGTCTGAGAGGTGACTCCTCACAGCTGAAACCAATCCAGTGCAGACATCACGAATCAATCACTGCATTCTCTTCTCCTAAGCCTGGATGTAGTCACAGAAGGATTCTCAGGTACTACCTCCCCACAGCCACATCAGTCAAGTGGGCACATGAATTAGAACCTAGTCCAACCTTTTCCCTACACAAAGGAAGAAGCCCAGGCACAGAATGGGAAGGCGTCCTGCCTAAAGTCACACAGCTGTGTAGTGGCAGAGCTGGGACTTGAACCTGGCCCCAGCAGGACCATTCAAAGGCCAAACAGACACAGGCCCCTGTTTCTTGGGCCTCGTCCCTGCTACAATGCCCCAGGGTTGTGAGATATTTGCGGTTTGGGTTCCTCTGGGTTTGCTGTCTCTGCTTTTGGAGGTCCGTCCTTGGAAGACACGATTGTAACAGAGCAGGAGGGGAGGCTGAGCTGGGGCACCCCGACTCTTCACACTTCCTACCCTTATTTAGGAGCAACTTCCTGCACCCAGCTGGGAGCTCCGGAGTCAGGGGCAGTGTCACGTCCATCTTAGGGTCCCCAGTGCCTAGCACAAGGGCCTGGCACAAACTGGTTCCTGGGAACTATTTACTGGATGGATACAGATGCATGGATGGGGGGGTCAGGGGGTGTATGGATGGTGAGTAGATAGATGGGTAGGTGGGTAAATGAGAGGAAAGGTAAGTGGGGGGACATACATGTCAATTCTTTTCCTCTCCATCATTTCCAGAAGAAAGTCTCAATTTGGCGCTGGTAAGCCCTTAGCAGGCCTCTAACAACTGATCCCTCTCGAGAAGAACGAACCAAGTGCTCTGGGCAGGGACCAGTACCTGACTACAGCATGTGACACTTTTTTTTTGGTGGCTGTTTCCACTGAACTTACCGTGGTCATTGTTTCTTTATGGCACGTTATACAGGTTGTCCATATATAGAGAGTTTAGTAAATTCCTTTAAAAATTAAATATTTAAAAGGGTGACACTTTTTCAAAAAAGTTGTGTCACTATTAACACAGGCAGCAAAGGAATATGGTTTTTAAAAATGTCAAGGCTGGAGGTAGATGGGTGCATGTGGGCGAGGTGACGAAGGGCAGCTGAAGGTGCGGGGGTGCGGCACCCCATGCCCTGCCCCGTCCCCTCCGGCTACATGCAGATGGGCGGCCTGGCCGGCGGCGGCCAGGGCCCCCCGGCTCCGCTCATTTCTCCGGTCAGGAGCCAGACAGGAACTGCTTTGGGCTTTGCAGGGCCTACGGTCTCTGTCACGTGTTCTTTGTTTCTTTGTTTTATTTTGTTTTTACTACTCTTTACCAACGAAAGCCCCACTCTCAGGTCACTGTCTATACAGAGCCAGGCAATGGGCCGCACTTGGCCCGTGGGCTCAACGGGCCGACCCCAGGACGAGCCCCCAGCCACAGGGCAGGAGAGGGGCAGAGCTGAGAGTGTGAGCAGCGTCCTGCCCCCGGCCAGCACACGGTCCCCACTGTCGCTGTCTCCTGGCCAGGTGCTGGAGGCCATTCCCAGCCCTGCAGTGGGGCGCCCGGTGCTCACCTTGCAGGCTGTGGTCCATGGGGAAGTGCTTGGTCTCTTCAAAAGCCCTGCTCATGACCGGCCCCTTGAGGAGCGCGTGGATGGAGTCCACCTGGCCAGCAGGAAGCGTGCGGTTAGTGGGGGCCCCGCGGCCCCCCAGGCTGCAGAGACCCACCGTCCACAGCCCCCACCCCCAGCTCCTGGCTTATGGGTTCTCACCAGGGGCGATGAGGGGAACCCAGGGCCAGGCCAGAGATGGAAACAAAGGTCCTACCTGGTTAAAGAGATGTTCCAAGCAGCCATGAAGCTTGTCCTGCTTGTCTGATGGAATCCGCATGTCACAAGGCAGCTCGTCCCCTAGAGGAAGGAAGAAGCCACAGCCATCTACAAACACGTCCTCCCAACCTCTTTCCCCAGAAGACAACGTAACTACAGGGTCCAAAACCCACAGTGGATTTGGGGTCTGACAGACTTGGACCCTGGCTCTGTGACACGAGGCAAATCCCTCGGCCTCTCTGAGCCTCAGTTTTTTCATCTTCAAAATGGGCAACAGTAGCTAAAGCATGACACAACTGTGGGTCATTGTTGTTATTCCCGGGACTCTGCGAACGAGGAGACGGCGAGGCGGAGGGAAGGAACTGGACCCCAAGCCTCCGGGCCCATCCCCCCCCGCGGTTTCAGTTCAGTTCGCTGCCACATGTGCTGTCCTCCCTAAAACCTCCACAGGGACAGTTTTTACAGCTGAATATCTCATGTGATGAAATATTTATCTAAAGTTCAGCAATAGCTTCAATTTTACTTGAGCTTCTTTTTCTTCCGTTAAATTAGAAAAAAAATTAAAATTAAATTTTTATGCCCAGACTGCCATCACCGGAAGGTCACACCAGGCAGCTGTGGCCATGGGGGCCGGGGAGGCAGGCGACGGCGTCACCAGGGCAGGAGGGAGGCTTCTCACCGCCCGCCCTCGCGGGCCTCCTCAATTATCAACCACGTGGATGTGTGCCTTCCTCACAAAATACGATTTTTAAAGGCTGAAATCAATGAAACTGAAACCAAAACAAACTGCAGTCTTTCAGCAAAAGTTTTAAGTACATTGACGGTTCTCTCGATTGAATTTTTGGTTTGAGCACATGCCATTTTTATGGAAACCACCCTGTTTGGGGGACATCACGGCAACTCATCACCACGTGTAACTGCACCGTGTGCGTTTTGTCTGTTCTGAGTCCACGGCATCTGTGGAGAACGCCGGCTCCGCGAGGGCCAGGGTCCGGCGTGCTCAAGAAAATGTGCCGCAGGAGCGAGTGCAAGGCAAGACACGACCATACTATGCAACGCGGTATAAAGTAGTGTAACACAGAGAGACGTGTAACAGAATAAACAAAACACAATCTCGCACGAGCTGCCGCACTCACCAGACCCCATCTCGTCGCTGCCCAGGTAGGAGCTGTTGCTTCTCACGCTGGTGTAGGACAGGACGGAGTCCCGATTACTGTTGCACTCGCTGCAAGGGGCCGAGAGGAAGACAGGAGTCACCCTCCGGCTCCCGCCTCCGGTCCCAGCACCCAGACAGAACTCATGGCTCCTCAGGTGGACCGCTGGCCCAGGCAGGGGGCGGGGGGTATGGGCGGCGCTGCAGGCCGACCACCCGAGCCAGTGACAGGGAAGGTTGCCCTGGCTGGTGTTCTGACGTTGCAGAAACAGTCCTAGGTCCCAGCACAGAATCGCAGAGCCAGTAGGAGGGCAGTAAACTGCTTTCGGTGGGGCGTAAACTCCTGTCACTCCCCTCGGGGCACAGCCTGGTCCCTGGACACATGAGTCCCTGCCACACTCAACCACATGGCTCTGTGTTCTGTCTCCCCGGCCTGGCTGGGAACCTCATGAGGACAGGGACTGTGTCCTCTTCGCTTGTGTCCCAGGAACGCGGCAGGCATGGGAATCAAACACCACAACCCTGAAATTCTCTCCTTCACCTTTTTGACAATGAAAGGAAAAAACTGGGAGACTCAAAAACGCAAGCATGGAAACCCAGAGCGAAGGAGAGATCCTGGGCAACGGACACACGGCGCTAGGAACACACGGCGCCCAGTTAGCCCGAACACCTGGGTACGGAGAGGCCAAGGCAAACACATGGGTGGTCAGACGCCGCGAAGACAGAAAGATGGAAAGAACACGAATGAATGCTGGGAGGCCTGGGGCGAGGTGCTTCTTGTTGATGCGATCAGTTTTGTATTTTGCCCATGAACAAGCGCGCCCACCGACGTTCCACTCTAACAACGATCCAACGATCAAATGTTATATAACCTCTCCCAGGAGCCCGCGGTGCTTGTTTATTTGTGGTAAGGACTTCCACTTACTCACTCTATGGTTTATTACAGGAAATTGAGTTTTTAGTCCATTTAATCTACTCCTTAGGACTTCACTGATCTCCTTATAATTAGCTTAACCAGGAAAAAAACAATTCAGATCCTCTCCGAGTTAGGAGGAAAAAAAATTTGTCTTCCTCCTTGGGTCAAGTAAAAATAAATACCATTTGTTGCAGAAAACATGGGAGTTTTAAGACACACCACAGACCCTGACTTTTTCTTTGGCCACGTTCCGCCAGCGTGTGCAGAGCAGAACTGGAGCAGAGTAGATGGGTGGCGTCCACAGGGGACACCCTGGAACATCAGCCTCGGGGAAGGGCAGCCAAGGGGGGAATCTGGGTGGTGTTGAGGTCACAGAAAACCCCCACAGCCACGTGGCTTAGCAACAGCGCCCCATCCCACTGCTTCCTGGGAAACGTCCCTCTAATTCTGACTAATTTCCCACAAGTCAGTGGCCTCAGCTGTCCCGCTGGCCGTCCATGTCAAAGCCCCCACGACGCCCACGGCTGCCCCCACCTGTAGGAGTCACGGTAGCTCATGGTGTCATGCCCCGAGTCCTCCTGATCTTCCTCAGACACCTTGAAACACACTTTCTTGATGCCCCCGTGGTCGGTCCTGTCCATCTCGCTCTCTTCGCTGACCAGTGGGGGGGACGAGGCCTCCTCGGCCAAGGGCGGATCACAGGACCCCCCCGAGGTGGGCTCCGTGATGGTCGACAGCAGCCTGTGGGAGCAAAGACCTGGAATTTAAAATCACACGGCGCTGGCTTCAATGGCCTCCATGAAGGCTCCAGGCAGGACCCCGACCTCAGGCCTCACCTCGGACCCTAACCGAGGGAGCCGAGGGACAAACGCCGTGTGTCCCTTCCCTGAAAATCCCACTAGCAACTCCGCAGGTGCACAAACGCTGCCCCTCCAGTCCCTCCTGTAGGGGGCATGAGAAACAGGTTCCTTATTTCACAATGAAGTTACACAAAGTTCAAGGGTATAGATTACGACTGGGAAACTGGTCTGTAAAAGCCCAGAGAGCATATCTTTTCAGCTTGGTAGGCCACACGGTCTCAGCGGAAACTACTATTCAGCTTTGCCACATGCGTGAAAAAGCACCACAGGCAATGTGAAATGAATGAGCTGGGTTGTTCTGATAAAACTTTATTTTTTAAAAAACTAGGCAGTGGGCTGGATGTGGCCCACAGGTGACAGCCTGCCAACCCATGGCACAGGGCACCATTAATTGTCAAGCACATAGGTTTTAAAGACAGACAGACCCCACATTCAAATCCTGATTCCGCCACTTCCTAGCTTAAAGACCTACAGCAAATTGTTTAACCTCTCTGAGATCCCTCATCTGTATCATGGAGTAATCTCGGTATCCATGTCCCAGGCTTCTATGAAGATTAGGGGGTTAACATAGGTAAAGTGCTTGGAGGACTGTCTGGTGCCTCCTTGTAAGTGGACCAATAAATCCCGGCTGATATAACGCTTCACATCTCAGTGAGGTCGGTGTTATGATCGGCTCCATTTTACAGGTGAGGAAATTGAGGCTCAGAGGTTAAGGGACTTGCCCGAGGTCATACAGTTAATAAGTAGCAGGCCAGAATTCAAACCAAGGCCTCCTGGCTCCAGACCCTCCCTTGTTTTTCCTTCTATTGCGGACCGTGTCCATGGTATACACGAAAGCAGAGGGAGCAGTATGAAGAACAGCTCCCAGTAGCCAGCTTCAGCCACGGCAACTTGGGCCTCTTTTGTTTCCTCAGTCTTTCCTGTCACTTTTTCTTTTTTGGGAATATTTAAAACATATCTAAGAGATCATAAATTCCCCCTATAAATACTCCGTATGTGACTAGCACAAAAGGACTTCCTCCTACAGCAATGGTTCTCCGCGAGGGTAATTCTGCCCCCCCCGCCCCGCCCCAGGAAACACTGAGCAATTCTACATATGTCCTGAGGGGCAAATATTTACCAGCATCCAGAGACATTCTCAGCTGTCACAAGCGAAACGGGGCGGGGTAGGGGCCCCTACCGGGGCCCAGCGAGTAGACCCCAGAGATGCCGCTGAGCATCTTACGATAAGCGCGATGGCCCCACCACAAATTATCCAGCCCCCGCGTCTGTCACCAGCGTCGAGGCTGAGACACACTGCTTTAAACCTAACCAGGCTGCTCCTACACACCTAACAAAATTAGCAATTCCTTACTATCACCTAGTACCGACGTCCCCATGTCCCTGAGAGTCTCGCAAGTGCCTTCTCACAGACAGTGCATGAGAAAGAACCCTAACCAGGCCCAGACACTGACTGCGCTTGGCTGGTGCATCTCTCAGGTCTCTTCTCTAACAGATCCTCCTCCCCCATCTCCCCGTCATCCCCCTCCTCCTCCTGGTACCTGCTCCCACCCCGACCCCCACCAGTCATTTGTTAAAGGAATCGGGTCCTCCGCCATCTAGAATCGCCCTCCCCCCGGCTGCGGCCTGCTGCGTCGCCTGCTGCGTCGCCTGCTGCCCCACCGCCGCCCTCCACTCCGCACGCCCTGCCGTCGGGCAGTGAGGCAGGCCGAGGGTTCTGAGTAGAGAGCAGTGCAATTCCCATCAGCGAGGGCACTTGGTAAGTGGCGCTGTGTGTGTGCCCGGCTGCGTTACACCAAAGGGACATCATGTCTTGCCGTCTCTCTCTCTGTTAAAATTATCAAGTCCCCCAAAATGTGCACCAAATAGTTTTAGTCTCTCCTGATGATGGCTGCCTACACCCATCACTTCACTAGAGCTGCGGTTCTCAATCAGGAGTGATTTTGACCCTGCCCCCCAAGGGGGTATTTGGCAATGCCTGAGGACATTTTTGTTTGTCACAGCTGGGGAACAGGGAGGCTACTGGCATCTACAGATTCTGATAAACAGCCTGTGATGTACAAGACAGTGCCCCACTACAAAGCATCCTGACTCTAACGCTCCCCCCACCCACTCCCCGCTGGCGCCAGGGCTCACCTGTTGATCTGGGTGACATACTGCTTCATCTCCTTCAGGGCCACGTCCAGTTTGGTGAAGAGCTGCAGGTAGGCGTCCTGGATCTCACGGTCCTCCTGCTTGAGGAGGAAGCTCAGGCCACGGTCCTCCGGGCCCAGAGCCCCATTGGCTGGCCCAACACTGCTGTCCTGGAGACCCTGGCGTTGAGGGTCCCCATCCAGAGCAGGCAGGCACTTCCAGGACGGGGCAGCCATGGTGGTGATGCAGTGCTGCGTGTAGGACATAGGGTTCAGGTGGCCTACATGGAGAGAGGGAGAGCTCCCTTGGAAACGGTGCCCAGACACCCACAACCCCCTTGGACAGAGGTATATAAACCCATGTCGAGGACCCAGTGAATGACAAAATTTCCCCTTTTAAATATTATTGTAATCCACCGGGTTACTTCAAGAAGAAAGTTTCAGTTTGGTACTAATATGCCTTTAACTACTGTGATTTTTTTCCCCGCCCGGAAGGCAGACATGATGACTGGTACTCCAGCAGCCGTTCTAGTCCATGAGGCATCCTTTAGGATGAAAGCCACCTGTAGAGATGATGGTGTAGAAAGACAGAAGCCCAGGTCCCTGACGACTATGAAGCCACTATTCCAGCCCTGGACCACTGGGTTCCAAACATGTTTCTGTCAACGTATCTGTAGCGTGAGATCCAAACACACTTTCTAACAGACACATGCAGTTACCTTGCTCTGGGTCAAGGCCAATGAGGGAGGGTTTGCGACCAAAGCGAATGCTGAAGGACCTGCCAATGGAGGGGGTGGTCTTGGGGTAGGACACTTCCATGAGGTTGATGTGGCAATTGGTGGGGCAAAAGTCCAGGCCACACAGCGGATGGGGTTCCGGAGTTGCTTGTTTGAAGGGTGGGCTGACCCTGCTCTTCAGCTGGGCTGCAAACTGACAAAGGCAGGGGACATGAGGTCATGATTCGGGACTCTGGGAATCCCGGCCATCCCCGGTACCCGCTTTACCCTGGCCTAAGCCTGGCATCCCAAAATGAAGAGCTCCACTGGAGAAGTGGATACCCTATACTGCATTTCAACAGATCCAGCTGTCAGGGAAAGTCCAGAAAAATCTGAGGTCCACATTCATGTCTCCATTTCAGCTGCACATGTGAGTGACCCTTGAAAAACCATCTCTCCCCAACCCACAGTCCATGAAGTTCAGGTAAGGCTGCCTCCCCATCCCCGCAGTGATTGGTACAGGGCTCAGCAAGGGACCCAAGCGAAGCCAATAAAAGTGCTCATCGAGTTCCTTTTCTACGGGAGCTGCTAAGGTTAGAGCTACTGGGGACCATTTTGCCACCATCTGAGAAAGGCCTGCCTGAGAGCAAAGTCAACATGGAAAAATAAAGTCAAGAGAAGGAGAGAGGCTGCATTCTTAGAATAGTGCTATCTGAGCGCTTGATATACCCATGCCTGAAGTTCACCTCTGGGCTTTTCAGTAACATAAACCAATATATTCTCCCCTTTGTCTAAGCTACGTTGGGGTGGGTCTTGACATTTTCACGCAAAATCCTCCAGCCTGAGGCCTTGTAGGGTAAAGATACCTCCCGATAGCAGGCAATCCTCTGGCCGATGCTCTCCAGCTTGGTGTCGCAGATGTTACGAAACTCAAAGTGGGACATGGTCTTGATGTTGTTGCTCAGGGCCATGAGCCGCCCACAGTTCTGCACGAAGACACTGTCATCGGCAGCAAAGGCCTCGAGGATCTGCAGAAACAATAACAACTCCTGAGCACATGCTCTGCACCGAGGAGGGTCTGAAGCAGCTTATCTGTGGCGACTCCCGTATGCCCTGTAATGCCCCTGCGAGGTCAGGTCTGTTACTGGCCCATTCTGCAGATGCGTAAACTGAGGCTAGAGAGATAAGAGGTCACTCTCCTAAGTCGCATGTGGTGGGGCAGAGACAAGAATTCAGGTCTCCAGACTAACTCTGAGAAAATGGGAATCGGGCTGCTCCATCCCCACCCCCACGCCAACCCAGGACAGGGAAACGCCCAGCAAGACCTTGGCAGCGAGGCCGAAGCAGCCGCGGGGCTCCACAATCTTCTCCAGCACGTGACACTTGACGCCGGCTGTGCTCGCATACTCATACACCACACCATGCTCCAGGTGCACGTTGTCCACAGTCAGGCTGACCACAGGGCTGTCCTCATGCAGGCTCAGCTGGGGACCCAGGGACAGCAAGGGGAAGGCTGAAAGCCAAAAGGACAGGCAACCCTGAGCAGGGGGTTCCACCCAACAGCCCGCCCAACCGCTGGCCAGCACCACGGACAGCTCCTGTCACCCAGATGAGGAAACCGGAGTCTGGGCTACAGCTCTGTTCGATTTTGCCAGCCCACTCACATTCATCCCTTGCCCTAGACTATCGCTCTAGAAGTCACCCCTTGTGCCCTATTCCCAGTCTGTGTGGCTCAGAAGTGGGAACCTGCCCCCTTCCCCCACATCATTCCCCAGAGGCACAGGCCTGGCCAATCAGCACACTTGATTCCCCCTGTTCAGTGACCGGTTCAGAAACAAGCACGTGACCCAAGCTGGGCCAATGAGACTCAAGTCTGGGACTTTTGTTGGATCTACAAAGAAGAGGGGACATTCTCTTTTCATCTGGGTTCCCAGCAGCCAGAACCACCACATGCAGAAAACAGGATGTGAGAGGAAACCCAACACAGAAGGAGCAGAGTTGAAAACTGGAGAGAAAGCGACTCCCCAGGAGACGCTATAAAGCACTGGATCAAGCCAGACCTCAAGCCTGCATGGCCCTACTCAGACTTCTTAGTTGTCTGAGTCTATGCTTTTAGGCAGCTCAGATTCAGACCCAATTAACATGGGCCCAGAGAGGCTAAGTGACTCCGCAGAGGCCACACAGCTAGCAAGTGGCATATCTAGGAAACAAAGAAGGCAATGCATGACATATGTTAATGATACATGCAGTGAAGAAAACTAGAATAAGGAGACAATGGGACAGAAGGGCACTCGGGGGTGGGGAGGTCTCTCCAAGGAAGTGAAATTTGAGAAGAGAGGTGAGTGAGGTAAGTACTCTAAAGGAGAGCATTCCAGGCAGAGGGAACTGCAAGTGCAAAGGTCCTGGGGCAGGGGTAGCTTTGGTGCAGGGTAGATGAAGCAGAGAGGGCACATGGGAAAGTGATATGAGGTTGGAGAGCCAGGCTGGGCTGGGAGACCATGATGAGGGCCTGGTCTTCGCTCTGAGGAGGGCGGGAGCCATGGGAAGGTTTTGTTCTATTTTTTGAGGACAGCCCAGAGGAGGCGAGGTGAGGCGGGGCAGGGAAGACAGTGAGCAGGCCACCGCGATAGTCCTGGTGAGCAGTGATGGTGGCTTGGGCCAGGCGGCAGCGGAGGTGGTGGGAAGTGGCCAGGCTCTGGATGCATGAGGAAGGCAGAGGTAACAAGATGTGCTGCGGAAGGTTGGGGGATATAGGAGAAGGGGAACAGTTGAAGGGGACACTAAGGTCAGGGGCCCGAGAATCTGGAAGGATGGAGACGGGACCCTGAGGGGCAGAGCAGGTTTCAGGGGACGGTCAGGAGTTCAGTTGTGGCCATGCGACGTCCTTGACGCCTGTGAGACATTGCGGGGCAGGTAGGTAGAAAGACAGGTCTGGAGCTCAGGGTGGATGGAGGCTGTGCTAGAGTTAAAGGTGGGAGCTCGAGGTGGGCAGAATAACCTCCCAGGAAAACGCCCACATCCTCGTCCCTGGACTCTGCAAGGACACTGTTACCAGGCAAGGGGAAATGACAGTTACCGATGGAATTAAGGGTCTAATCAGACGACTTTACAATGGGGTGATCCTGGCTGACCCCGGGGAGCCCAGCGTAATCACAGGTGTCCTTGAACAGGGAAGATGGAGGCAGAGGAGGCAGAGTTAAGGAGATGGCGAGCTGAGAAGGACGCAGGCCAACACTGCTGGCTCTGCAGACGAAGGAGAGGGCCAGAAGCCAAGGAGTGCACACAGCTTCTAGAAGCTGAAACAGGCAAGTAAATGGGTTTCTCTCCAGAGCCGCAGGAAGAAATGCAGCCCTGCCAGCACCTTGACTCCAGCTCGGTGAGACTCATTTCAGGCCTCTGGCCTGCCGAGCTGCGAGAGAACACACGCGTTGCTTTAAGCCACCAGGTTTGCGGTGCTTTGTTACAGCAGCTACAGGAAACCAATGCAGACCTGACAGCAGCCAGATGGACGGGATGGGGTCAGGGAGGAGTGCAGACACAGAAGAGGACCCCGACCCTGCGGGAGTCTCTGTCACATTGCCCGCCTGCCCTGTTACCTGAGTCAGACTGGTCTTCCTCCCGGGCCCCCTCGCCGCCGGGGTCCTCGCCGGGGGTCTCCTGGCTGGCTCGGGCCTCCTGGGCATCCTCGTGGGTGTGGTAGACCCACTGGTACAGGCCCTGGGAGGGGAGTGGAGTAAGAGGGGCGGCCATGACGCTGGGAGCCAAGGGAGGAAGGGACAGGGCAAAGGAGCAAACAGTCCCCCGACTCCAAAGCTCAGGCTGTTAGCCTGGTGGTGACACTACCTTTGGAGGATCCCCCAAGGCTTCACGCCGGGACTTCCTGAGGGACCTCTGGTCACACTCAGCCTTCACCCTCTACAGTCTAAACTCCACGAAGGAGCCGGGGAGGGGGAGCTTTGAAAATGTAAGTCTCCCCTGGGGCCCCATGGCCTACAGGCAGGTCAGGCACATAGCAGGTGCTCAATAAACACTGCATGAACCAATAAATGTGTATCACCTTCCACAGAACCCCAACCCCAATCCCAGCATAACGTCTATTTTTACCATCAACATGACTATTTGCCCAACATGCCTATGTAGTATCACACCCATTTCACAGCTGTGAAAACCGAGGCCACGAGGTATCACAGCCCCGCTCTCCCACTTTAGGGGGCCGAGGGGACACAGGGCCCAAGCCCAGCACGGTCCCACCAGCTAGGCAGCCTGACCTGACCCAAAACACCGTGATGCCTCAGGCTTTTTCCAGAGAAGGGAGGGTAGTCCTCAGCACCCTGCCTCCACCCACTGAGCGGGGCTTCCCTCATCCCCTTCCTTGGCTGCCGGGCGGCTTACCAGGGCCTCTTCTCGGCGGCTCCGGAATGCCTGGAAGTGCTCCAGGACTTCTGGGGCACCGTCGTTCATCACGTTGTTGCCATTGACCTTCAAGATACACTGGCCCGCACAGAGCCCCGTGGCGGCGGCCTCTGAGCCTAAGGGAGACAGGGGTGCTTGAGGCTGAATGCCAGGCAAAGAGGGTCTGGGCTGCAGGCGAGGGCGAGCATCCAGGTGTACACGGTCCTCCACCCAACCCCCAACACACACCCACACGCCCCGCCTCCAGCGCCCCCACCCCGCCCTGGAGCCCCTCTCCCACCCACTCCAGCAGGCAGGCCGGGACCGGCACCCCCACTGCGAAGGAGAACTGAGGCTCAGAGAAGCAGCAGCTAGCCCACGGTCACCGAGCTTGGGTTCGCCCGCGGCTCTGCCACTGACAAACCGTGTGGCCTTTGGTCAAGTTCCTTCACGTCTCTGTGCCTTTGTTTTTTCATCGGTTTTAGTTTTTTCATCAGAAAATGAAGACACTAACATTGTCCACCCCCAGGGCTTGTGAGAGGTTCGGAGACTTAAAGCGTTTAGCCCATGCCCATCTCTTAGTAAGTAAGTGCTCAAGAGATATCAACTGTTTTACTGTTTTTGCCTGGTTCACCTAAAAACACCTGCTCTTCTCTGTCGATGCTCTAAGGCAAGGTTTGTCACCCCAGCGCTACCAACATTTTGCGCTGTCCTGTGCGCTTCAGAATGTTAGCAGCATCCCTGGTCCCTACCCGTGAGATGTCACCCCGTGTTGTGACAACTAAAGGTGTATCCAGACATTGCCAGATGTCCTCTGGGGGGTGAGACTGCCCCCAGCTGGGAACCCCTGTTTTAAGGGTGTATAAAATAAAAACACTCTTTAAAAAAAAGTACCAAATTCTCCACTTCCTATCCTGATATGCATTTTCTTAATTAATACATATTTAAAGGACAAATATGACGACAAAAATGGACAATTAATGTTTAAACTTTAAAACCGAGGACTTTAGATGCAAAAACGGTTGGAAGCCCAGCATCCCAACCCAACGGAGAGCAGCCCCTTAAACAGCAAGCAAGATGGCGGCACAGGAAGCAGAGGTCTCCAACTATGGGCCTCTAGTTACCGAGGTGCAGCCCAAATTCACATATGGCTTCTCTTTAAAAAATCAAATCCGGCAAGAGTAGGCCCACGTTCCTGCCTGGCAGTAAGGAGTAAGTAAGCTTGAGCTGAGGAAGACAGCCCCTTTTTAGAAGGAACACGTATTTTTTCACCTTGCCACAGTTTCCACCACTCCCTACTGTCTTCCTCTCAGATACCCATTTGTAACTGCCTCACTCCCTAGGCATTTGCATTTGCAAGCCTTGGCTTCAAGCCAAGAAAGAAAATGCTATCAGTGCACTGCGAGGCACAGGCCTGGCGGTAATGGTTGGAGTGGCTCTGAATCCCTGTCGCGCACACACAGACCCATTCCCCAACGCGCCCCTCTGTCTGTTGGGCCCCACTCACCTCGCCCCACAGCGTAGACGTACGGCGGGGCGGCTCCACGGATCTGGAAGCACAAAGCCTCTGGGTGGTCGGGGACTTTGATGACCCTGCAGCAGGCAGAGGCAGCCGTCAGGAAAAGCTGCGTCATTCCCAACAGCCCAGGGTGGGGGCACCCTGGGGAGCCCCTGCCTCCCAGACTTTGGGGAAATCCAGCCTACAAATAATAGCAGGGCCAGGTTTTCCAGCCCCCAAGTGTACAGAGAAAGCCCACCTGGTCTAAGCAAAGGCCACACCACCAGGATCTCGGGTCACTCAGAGCCGCCGGCCTGCCCGCGGAGCTTCAGTCCGCACACAGCAATCCCAGGCCACCCCCCACCTTCTCCACCACTCCCCCCGGTGGGAGGAGGCCTCTTGGTGGCCAGTCCGGCGCCTCAGCCAGTGAACATTTTATTCAACAATTGCAGATAGAAGGCTGAGACGTGACCAGCACAGCTTGGTGCCAACTGGAAAAACACCCACACGTGTCCCCTAGAGAACATGGTTTGAAAGCCCTGGTCTTGGCCATTCTGCAGGTGAGACACCAGAGCTGGGCAGGTGGTACCTGCCTGGGATCGTGCGGTGGGTGTCATTAACGCAGGGGCTTCAGTGCGGACGTCTGCGAGCCCATCAAAGCTGTGCCCCCTGCAGTGGCCTTCAGGACCATCCCTCCTGTCCCCGCCCCCGCCCGATAAAGCCGTCTTGGGGGCCTGTTCTCAAACCCCAGGTGTTTCCAGAACTTAAGACAAGCCGTTCCACCTTGGTGATTTCTGCCACTTCCACATACCAACTAAGCTGTCAATCACTTTCCCTCAATTGACTTGCCTTTTCACTGAAACAATCTTATTTAAAACTTTCCATCACTCCCGTCAACAGAAAACTGTGAAGCGTTTGCCTTAAATAGAAGGGAGAAGTGGAAACCAAATGCACAATTTTTAAAATAGAAAACGCGTCTCCCTGTACCTGCATCTGGCATCCAAGCACTTCTCGCCGCCCCCCGCAGCCCCGCAAGCCTGCCTGGGAGCCTCCTCACCACGGCCCCGCTGCCGCCTCCGCCCCCACAACCCCGTCTTCACTAGCAGCTGGCGGCAATCTGCCGACCCTACTCCAGACCGTGCCTTACCTCTGCCCAGCACCTTCGCATGGCTCCGCGGTCTGCGGTGGGCACGGTGTCCTACAGGGCCAGGCCCCGCGGTCTGACTGACCTCACCGCCCACCCTCCCACTCGCGCACTCCGCTCCAGCCCACCGGCTGCCCCACTGCTCCTCACACAGCCGTGGGCCCACCTGGGCCTTGGTACTGGCTGTTTGCTCCGCCTGGAGCCCTCTTTACATACTGGTCTACACTTCCTGCCGCCTGGTTCAGTATGTCCCTCACTTCTCCATGTTTTGTTTTAGTGTCTGTCTCCTGTTCTAACCTCCAACCCAACCGAGATCTACCAAGAGTAGAAATGCACCCATCCAGAGCCTGAAACACCATGGAACACACTATGGGCGCGCGATAAAACCTGTTGAGTGACTGAAGGTAGCAGCTGCATGTCACGTGCCTGCAGAAGGAGCCCCACCCATGGGGAGCCAGGACAGCTTGGGCCCCCAGCACCCAGGCCGCTCCTCCGCCTAAGAGGAAGGTCGGTGAGAGGCGGGACCCATGGCCCCTGGGGACACTCACTCTTTAGCCTTGGTGGCCACCAGGAGGCGCAGTGGGCGGCGGGAGCAGAAAGACTGGTTGAGGATGGACTCCACCTCCGAGAAGGGCCGCAGGAACACCAGATCCTCGTTAATGGAGTAGATCTTCCTCCCCACCTGCAGGCCAGCCATCTTGGCGAGGGAGACACGCACACTGGGTTACCGGTCTCCTCTCCTCCTCACCAGGGAGCCTTGACGGCATTCAGGCAGCACAGCACCGGCCCCCAGGACCAAGCATGGCCAGAGTGACCCCCAGAACCCGCTCCCCTGTGCGACAAGCAGTCCCTCCCCTCGGCCGGCTGGTGAGACCTGGTTCTGACCAATGAGCCATGCAGGGACGCCTGCTGCAGGCGCTGAGAGGAGAGACTGCCACGGCCTGCCCTGCCGAGTGAGGACAGGAGGTACCGAACTAAAGCAGTCGCCTCGAGACCTGAGGGCTTGGCCAGGAAAGCAGAAGAGATGTTGACTCTGAACCAAGACTCGCAACCACCTCCTTCTAACCATTTAGATCTTTAGACAAATGAAGTCCTACGGCTCCAGCCTCTGTGGGGCGAGCGTGTGGCTCCTTGCAGCCAAAAGCATTCCTGACCACTACCCGGAGGCAAGCGGGTGCCCTGGGGGCAGCTGAGAGGACCTGGGGCTGAGTCCTTGGCCTGCCACACACTCGCTCTCCTTCCTCCCTCTGCCAGACCTCATGTCCCTGACAGAGCAACAAACTTGTCTTATTCAGGCCACCAAGCGTTAGTTTTTCCTCATCACAGTGGATTCGGAACGCTTTTTCTTGCACCTCTCCAAGGGGCCAGCAGAGGGGGCCGGTGGCACACACACTGGGGGGACAGCCCAGAGCAAAGGAGCTCTGTCCCAGCTCCCCCAAGAATGCAGAGAAGACAGCCCTGGACTCAGTGTCCCCACAGAGGCAACAAGCGAAGAGGGACATTCCAGGATTTGCTCCTGCCTCCAGAAACGTGGAGAGAGACCCTCCCCACTCTTCTACCCCCGTCAGCCCCTGCCAGGGCAGCCGCTCCGCGAAGCCTCACCTCGGCCAGCGAGCCCCTCTGGACCGACTTCACCACCACGGCCTTGTTCCTCTCCTCGATGTCAAAGCCGTAGTCCTCCTCCTGGGGCAGGATCTGCGGGCCCGAAGCCGGACAGGGCCGGTGAGATGGAGGCGGGGGGCTGCCTGGAGCCAGCCCTGCCTTGGCGCCTATGGGACTGTGACCCTGCTGGCTCCTCGGGCCCCATATCTACACGGGGTTGGGGTCCGGGGGTAGGGGGTGGGGGACAGGGGGCGTGGCAGGAGAGAACAAAACAGCACCCAGTACACCAGGAGTGTTCAATACCTATCTGTGAAGACACGCCAGCTGGTTCTCACCTCTGCCTAGTGATGATTACGTATTTGTTTACTTTTCATTGCCTGTCTCCCCTTTCCCTCCCACCCTGAGGACGTGTCCACGGTTCCTCACTCTCCGTCCGGCGTGCTGCAGGTGCTCCATAAAAATGTACTGGCTTAGTGAAGAACTTGGGGACAAGGGAGCAGTCTCTCCCCGCTGCAGAATGGCAAGCAGGTCGGGGACACAGGAAAATGCATTTATATGGTCAAGAAATATCTTCTGAGCTCCTTGCTGCCTATTATGTGGGTCAATCACTTTATTGAGCAATGGAAACTGTAACGAGACAGACAGTTCTGCCCTCTGATGCAGCTATCTAGTTGGAGAGATAGACAACAAACAAATATAGATTGTGACACAGGAAGTGTAGGAAGCTGGAATTAAAATAAAGCACTTAAAGGGACAGAACATGGAGTGGAGGGGGCAGAAGAGGCGATGCGTGAGCTAAGACCTGAATGATGTGAGGAACAGAACTCTCTGAAGGCAAAGAAAGTGCTCCGGGCAGAGGGCACAGCACGTGCCAGGCCCCGAGGTGCTTACTGCGGGGAGAGAAGGCGGATCAGAGGGGCGGGGGTGGAGTGAGGACAGGGGGTGGCACTGGAGAGGCAGGGAGAGCCTCGCAGACCACAGGAGACTGGGTTTTATCCTAAGTGACAGGAAGCAAGGGAGGGCTTTACAGTGGGAGAAACGGGAATCGCCCGGCACAGCAACCCCCAGAGGTATTGCAGGAGAGCAGTTAGTGGAGCTGTCTTCACAGTGTTCCGACTTTGGTCCCAGCTCTGGCTGCAGCAAAAGACCTGAGCTCTCCGAGCTCTTCCGATGGTCCACTGTGGGCCAGGCACTGAGGTGGAGGCTGCTGTCGAAACAGGCCTTGGCGGGCTGGGCTGGCAAGCTATCCGAACAGGCTGGTGAACGGTCGACTTTAACCGCAAGGATATTTACAGCCGCTGGTCGGACAGGGTGGCAGCCCAGAAGGCCTAAGGCTCTGGCCTGCAGCATGAGTCATCTCGGGAGGCCATCCTCACTGCGCAACGCCAGGCTGGGAGGTGGGAAGGACAGGGGGCAATGCAAAGGAAGACAGAGGCAGCCTGGCTGGTCCAAGCTCTTTTGAGAAGAAGGCGGTCCTGGCCAGTGAAGCAGCCTGGCCTCCTGGCAGCACTGCCAGCCACCGTCCAGGATCACCCATCCTCCGGGGCGCTCCAAGCTGAGCCCACATCTGAAGGTCTCCCCGCTGCCTGGCCTGCAGGGGGGCCTGGGAAGGAAGACGCAGCAGCTCAGCTCTGCTCCTACCAGCAGGCGCTTGGCCAGAATGTTCTCCACCAGCTTGAAGTCGGTGCGAAGCTGCTTGTTCTTGCTGCTCGTCCCCTCCATCTCCTCGTCTGCGTGGAAGCGGAAGTACTGCGACTCATCCTTGAACTCGCTCTTCTCCAGCACTGCAAACCCAAAGACACACAAGCACGCGGTCAGGCTCGGGGGGAAGATTTCAGCAGCGGCCGCCAACTGGCAGCCTCGGGCCGGAACCAGCCCCTGGACAAGTTTGGTTTGGCCGGCACCATATTATATTAAATGGGATTATGTGCCAACACTAACATATTAGGATATTTCACATAAATGACTGGCTTTCTGACTTCTCTCAAAAAATCTGAACTCGTCCCACCTGCTAGAAGGACATATCTCAAAGCCATAGTAACAGAGCCAGTGTGGAACTACAGCAGCAAATAGATAAAGAACCAGAGGAAGAGAGTAGAAGTCACTTAAGAGGATCGTGTGTTTATGAGAACTTAGTACATCATGGATGATGGGAACATGGAAGATTCCAGATGGTGCAGCAAGCCCATCGGGGGGTGGAGGGGGGAGAAACTGGACCCCTACCTCACACCATAGACAATAAATCCGGATGGATTAAAGACCTAAATGTGAACAGGAAAACGAAAACTCACCAAACAAAATGCAGGTGAGTATCTTTGTCCTAGGGAGGAAAAGGAGTTCAGGAACAAGACACACCCTGCACCTCCCGGCCAAAAAAAAGCACTATAACTTCCATTTGATAAGATGGTCACAGGCAGTGGGCAGAGTCAAAACAAACAAACAAACAAACAAAAAAACTAACATCTAAAACCAACAAAGAATAACTAGCTAGAATATATAAGAAACTCCAATAAGTCAACCAGAAAAGGCTGGAAAACTTAAAGATAATCAAAGATAAACAGGCAAACGATATGAATGGGCACTGACAGATGGGTAAGCCCACATGGGCAGCCAATATTGAACAAGGGCTCCACTTCACTAGTGACCAGGAGACACTGCAGACCAGGGACTGTCGGACACAGGCCCGGCAGGCCAAACCCAGCTCTCTGCCTCTTCTCAGGAAGACAGTTCCCTTGGAACACAGCCACACCCATTTATTCACGTGTTGTCGGGGCTGCTTCTGTGCACAATGACACGGCTGAATCATGGCAAGAGACTGCGTGGCCCACAAAGCCTAACATATTTATTATCTGGGCCTTTAGAGAAAAAGTTTCCTTTCTCTTTCTTTAAATATTTTTCATTAACTTTTTTATTTTTTTTTTTTAGAGCAAGAGGGGAAGGGAGGGAGACAGGGAAAGGATCATCGCTGGGTTGCCTTTTGTATACACCCTCACAGGGCAACCTAGGCATGCATGTTCCCTGGCTGGGAATCGAACCAGTGACCTTTCGCTTTGTGGGACAACGTCCAACCAACTGAGCCACACCCATCAGGGCTAGAGAAAAAGTTTTCTGACCTCTGTTCTAAGACCAGGCAGGAAAATGAATAAAAATAACCAGAAACAACCAGAGTGTGCTCTGGTCCCTGTGGATTACAACGTAACTAAGCACCTACTAGCGCCGGGCTCACCGAGGAGACAGACCGAGGCTCATTTGCTCCTCAGGCGAGGAGGGGTGTGCTGCACCCCTCTGAGAGCTGGGGAGACTCAGGCCAGAGAAGCTCCATGAACTGAGCAGGGCCACAGAGGCCCCCCTTTTCACCGTGCTGCCCAGCCTGGCCTGTCCCACGGAGGCCGGGACAGATTACATGAAGAGGGGCCGTCAAGGCTCAGGCTGCGAAAGCAGCTGTAGGAAATCAGAGGGCCCTGAGAAGACGAAAGCCAGCTGCCTTCGCGTCACAAAATGTCCCTGCCATCCCCGCAGACGTACGCTGTCTGCCGGCTTGGTAACTAAAGAGAAGTAGCAGGCGGCGTTCCATCCGTCCTTCTTCCTTTGCTGGGACACCTAGCTGTTTGTGAGTGTCCCTCTCAGGCCACCCTTCTTACCTCTTGAGAGAGCAGACACACAAATTGCTGCTCTCCCCAGAGCCGGGGAGCCAGGCCCCAGGGCACTGGCTGGCTTCGCCTCCACTGTAAACATGTGGGAAGAAGCAGAAGGATGTTGTGACGAAATGTTTGGGGGAACAGCTGGAATCCCCGGGTCCAGCAGCTTAGCTGGGTGAGGTCCTACCGTTCCCATCTTTCTCTGTCGACGCTGCTGGCCAGGTTTTGTGAGATGGGCACAGATCCAGGTTCAAATCCCTGCTCGGACCCTTCCCAACTTCATGCCCTTTTAGCCTCGCTGAGCCTCAGTGTCCTCTTCTATGGGACACTGAGGATCAAGTGGTGAGCCTCAGTTTCCCTTGTGTGTGCCTGGAGAGGGCCGGACCACCAGCCTCTCGGGTCCCCCGCTGAGGACACCTCAGGGCCCATGAGCTCAGGTCAGAAGCCTCAAGGCGCCACGCAGGCCCCACCCCCGCCCCCGCCCTGCACCCTAACCTGCATTTTACAGCAGCCACAAGCCTAGGATTTGGCCCTTTCCTCTTTCAGCCTGTTTTTGAGTTCGTGGCAGGGAGTAAGGGAGCAGCGGCCGCGCCCTGCAATTTCTCCCCCTGGGGGGCCTCCCGCGTGCTGGTACTGCCTGGGAGTCACCCCCTGCGAGTGTCCTCGGCCAGCAGCCTTCCCGGAATAGCGGCTGGGGTGGACCCCTAATTACTCTCACCCACAAATGAGCGGTCTGCCCAGTGGATGGCAGGAGGAACAGAGCTGTCAGAGGGCCCCACGGGGAACAGAGCAGCTTCTGGGAATGAGGGACTTTGGTGAGACGGGGCCAATGAACGGGAATGACCGAGGCTGCCCTGGCTGGGCCCAACCTGCCCGTCCCAGCTGTGGAGTGAGTCCGGCCCCAGGGCCGCAGGCGGCTGAGCTCAGAGGGGAGGGAACAGCAAGGCCTCCAGCAGAAAGATGGGGAAACTGAGGCCCAGAGAGGGGCCTGGGCTTATAGGGAGTCAGCCGAGTCAGGCCTAGCAGCAGGCCTGTAGGCTGCCAGGGGGGGCGTGGGGAGGGACACCCGGAGACCTTTCCTGTGACCGGCACACCTCTCACCCAGCTGAAGGGACAAACCCAGCAGCTGCGCCAGGGGTGGGAAACTATGGCCACAGTTGTTTTTATGTAAAACTTTACCGGCACGCGGTTCTGCCCACTTGTTTACGGGCTGCCTGTCGCTTTTTTATGCTACAATGGCAGAGCTGAGCAGTGACAGAGACCATGTGGCCTGAAAAGCCGGAACTATTTACCACCTGGCCCTTCACTGAGGGTGTTTGCCGATCTCTGAGTTAGAGGACAAAGCAGAAGCCGGGGGGAGGAATGGCCAAAAGACCTTCCCGCGTGCCACCAGCTAGGTCCAAGCCACAGGGGCCTCCCAATGACTATGGAAGCCACTTCCTCACTGGCCTCCCTGCTTCCACCCCTACCCTCGTGGACACTCCCCTTGGGCACCAGAGGGGTCCTGCACAAACCTAAGTCGGGCATGTCCCTCCTCTGCTCCAACCCCGCCCAGGACTTCCAGCTCCTGGGAGCGAAAGCCAAAGGCCTCCTCACATGCTTGTAATATTCCAGAAGGTACACTCATGTCATTGTGGTTGCATTTTCACGCACGCATGCACACGCACGCATGCACACATGCACGGACACACACAAAGCTGTGAGCTCCCGAGGGGGGGACTGTCATCTGCTTGGCTCACTGCTCTGTCCCCAGAGCCTAGCACAGGGCCTGCACGCCGGAGACACCCACTCGGCAAGTGACGGGAGGCAGAGGAAGCAAGGCATCAGCCTGGCTGGGAGAGACCAGCCCACGAAGGAAGGCAGGTTGAGCCAGGAGCCGAGGGGAGACTGGGAGGAGCTCCTTCGGCCAGGTGGTCGGGCAGCCTAGTGGCGAGGCAGGGACCGGGCAGGACCACCAGACAAGTGAGGGGTGCAGCAGGCAGGAAAGGGCACCCGTCGAGGGCCACGCAAGTGCCGGGGCCCTGAGAGTGTGCTAGAATTGGGAGAAGGGCTCCTTGGTGGGGGTGAAGTCTACCTGCCCTGCGGAAAGGGCAGGAGACTTGGGGCTCCCTCAGGGCCAGCGAGGGAAGGAGGGGAAGGAGAAGGCCACGGAGCTCAGGGGCTGAGTGTGTGGCCAGTGAAGCCGGCCAGCCGGGGCCCGCATCCTGACTCCTCCCGGCCATGTGACCTTGAGCAAGTTTCTTAACTGTCTGGGCTCTTATTCTCTCACTCAAGAGCGGGGGTGATATTAATCCCGACATCAAAGGGTCCTTACACGGACTAGCTGACACATGGAGAGTGTTTAGAGGAGACCGGGCACACAACGCATGAACTTCTGTTTCAACATAAAGTGGTATCAATGGAACCATTTTCTCCCTCCCCGCCTCCCACTTCCGGCCCCAGGATCATCTCAGGACTGTCCACCTCGCTGCCCCTCTCACGTGCTTCCCCCCCGCCAAAGGAAGAGTGACTCATCTGAGCGGGGAGGCTGGGAACTGTGGCGTGAACGTCCCAGGAAGGGCCCCGCCTTCCTCTCACGCTCAAAACCAGCCGTCCTCGCCCGTGGGCCAGGCCCGGGCCTCGCTGCCCATCCTGGAAGGCCACGGCCCATCTGGAGGAAGAACACCGTGGATTTGACCTCAAATCCAGTCTGGTTTTCAGGCCAAGCTTTACCAGCCACCTTGGTCCCCACTTGGATACCAGAAGAGATCTCTTAATCAGTGCAGAAGAGCAGAGAAGAAGGGAGTATTCAGGGGCCACCCCAAACCCCGAGGAGTCTACAGGTCTGCAGACCCGGCATCTAGCCTGGGCTCACCCACGGGCACGTTGGGCAGCCTCCGGCCCACCATATGCTTTCTCTGGGCCTCAGTTTCCCCTCCCTGTGCCTTGCACCAGGGACCAGAGTCCATGTCCGCTCTCCTGGTCCAGGACAGATGGAGACTGGGTGGAGGGGAAGGGGTGGATTACCATGGTGCATGAAGCCGTTGTTACACAGGCCCACGCCAAGCGCCACTGCCTCCTCCCGCGTCTGGCAATCGCCCTGGAATGGAACGAGAAGGGGAGGGCGTTAGGTGGACTGGCGCTGGAGGGGTTGCGTGGGGCTGGAGGGATGCCCACCACCACCCCCTAGCATGGAGGCTCCAGAAGGGCAGGGATTTGTGTCTCTTTGTTTCCTGAGGCGCCCCCAAAACATGTTTGTGATTGTTATTAACAAATCCCAGACAAGAACGTTATTTTATTGTGGTTGCAATAAATACATTGAGCAGTGTGTGATAAACACCACTAAACAGAAATGGAGATTTTAAGTAGCAGACGCTGTTGGTTGCCTAGAAACCACCCTTCCCGGATCCTGTAATACTGAAACCCTCACTGCTGGGGACGGCAATGCATCTATCTGGGCAACCACAATCCCAGCCTCCCTTGCAGCTAAAGGTGGTCAATGAGACGTAGGCAGAAATCACTGGCAGGGAACTCCAGTAAAACCCCCCTTATCTCTGGCCCTTACTTTCTCTTCTCTTGCCTGGAACAAAGAGGGTATGGCTGGAGCTCCTGTAGTCACCTTAGACCACAGTGTGACCTCGAGGACAGAAAACACACTAAGCATGGCACAGCAAAAAGAGCGTGGTCTCCAAAGACATCATGAGGCCACCCTAGCAACTCTGAACTACCAACCTCTGGTTGTTTCTCCTACTGCAGAAAAATAAACCCCTAATTTGACTCTGTAGTTGGATTTCTGATTGAAATCAAGTTCAATTCCTCACTGACCTCGCTCTAGTGAGGTCTAAGTCTAGTGAGACATCTGGGGAAACCAACAGGGGATTCCAGAAAAATCCCCTCCTCCCTGAGAAAAGCAGCCTCCCTGCCTGGGCTAGAGTCACATGAGGAAGTGACGTGCGGGGCTGTGGGGCTATCTTGTGACCGAAGCGGCAGACCTGCTGAGCGAGGATGATGGAGTGGAGGATGGAAGGTTCTCCTCGATACGTGGCCTGACTGTCGTGCGGCACCATCACCTGCTCAGGCTGCTGCTTGGTTGGGTTTTAGTCCCTGCAACTGACAACCCTCTTTGCTGGTACGGTTTAAATCAGGGGGATCTGACTCATCTCGGGGCTTCCCCGAAAAAAGGTGACAGCCAACCCAAAACTGGAGAATGACCAGGCGTGGCTAGTGTGCTGGGCCCACCGTTAGGGCCAGCTCTCCCATGTAGAATGTCATCCTGGTGGAACAGTCCCTCAAGTTTTGCCACTGCCTGCCCCCCACCCAATCAGGCTGAGGGCACATGATCCGTGTGAGGCCAATGAGATGCCGCGTGCCCCAGGAACATCACTCTGAGTGGACGAACCCGAGGACAAGGAAGAGCTGTTGCTGATTCTCCCTGAGAGCAGCGTCCTGAAGATGGTGCTCCTCAGTTCAGGCGCCCGAGAAGCTGGGAATCTCCTGATGCCAGTTCTTTCTAAGGCCTGGCACCTGGGTCTCCCCTTCCAATATGCCATCTTTCCCTTTCTGAGCCCTTAAGTTAGCCAGAGTCTGCTTCTTGCAGCCTAAGTAATCTCAGTGTATTCAGGCAAAGTGTGTGAGTTGCGTGTGTGCTTGGGGTGGGGGAGTGGGAGGATCTAAGGGGTGCAGGGAGAGTTGACAGGCTGACGGAACACCACAGAGAAAGGTCTAGCAGTGGGATGAAGCTTGAAAGCACCAAAGACAGCGTGGCTGGCAAAGAGCACGTCACCTCCATAAGGCTATTCCCGGCCAAACCCCAAGGGCCTGGCATATAGTGGGTGCTCAGTAAGTACGTGTTGACTAACTGAAGCTGTTATGAGCAGGAACCAAATCATGCAGGAGCTTGCAGCCAAGTCAATGAGCTGGAACTAAGTTCAGACAGCCTCTCATTTAAACAATTCCCAAAGTGAGAAGTTCCAAGAGGCCCTTGCCAGACATGGCAAGGCCAGAGGCCTCAACTGTCCCAGACTCCTTGGGCACCAGAGGGGCCAGGGAAGGGGTATTTCCCAGCTACAGAAGGAGTGAAGGCCAGAGGGGCAGGACTCAGCCTGCCAGGACTGGGGCTCAGACACAGGGCAGAGGGCCTGGGGGAGCCCCAGTATCTCACTGCGCCGGCTGACCCGGCTAACCAGAGGAAGACAGACCTCTCCTGCAGGACCCCGGGCCCGTGGCTGGAGGGCTGGCGGGCTCAGAGACCTGCCAGGGGAGGCCGCATCCAGGAAAGAGGCCACACCCAGGGCAGCTGCGCCCAGCTCTGAGGAGCCAGCGGGGGAGGCACAGCCAGGTTCCCGGGGTCCAGCAGGTCCAGCAGGTCCAGCTCTGCAGCCTGGGAGGACCGAGCGGCCGCCTGGAGCCTTCCTGGCTTTCGGAAGCACTCGGTCTGGACTCCCAGCCCATCCCTGCTCCCCTGCTCCCCAAAGGGCCTTGGGGTGACCCACAGGGAAGCTCCTAAAGTTAGAATCCCAGCGACGGGATTTGCAGGTTAACAGGGAAATATGTTGATCCTGGATGCACCCATAACCTGAAAAGTAATCCCCCACCTGACATCCCATCAGCCGTGGGGAAACCACAAGTCACCAAGTTACCATCTTCTCTTATCCCGGAGGCAGGAGCAGGCACACACCCACCATGCTCCCCTATCTCCTCTCCCCAACCTGCCCACTTGTCCCCGACGCTGGACGCTCCGGCCATGTTGGCCTCCTTGCCGCTCCTCCCACACACGACCTGTGACCGCACCTCAGGGACTTTGCACTCGCCCCCTTCCTTCCCCAGACACCCTGCCCTGGCTTTTCAGGTCTCAGTGCCCACGTCACCTCCTCAGAGTGGGCCTTTCCCTTACTGCCCTGAAGAAGTCCCCCGCCCCCGCCACCTCACACCCTCTCCACACACACTCACCCAGTTACACTCCCGCGTTCCCTCTATAATGTCTGTGCTGCACTTGTCACAACCAGAAATGAACGTGACCGTGTCCCTTCATGGCACGGCTCTCGAGGAGAATCAGCCCAATGCTCCCTGCCCCTGGGTTCCTCCTAATAAATCAGTTTCAGGTCTGTCTCCCACTAGAATGTCAGTCCCGTGAACAGGGACAGTGCCTGCCATGCCCCCCCCCACCCCCCGCCAACCTCCTGGCCTTGAAGCACAATCTCTACCACTTACTGAGGAACAAAGAGAAGTCCAAGGAATGAATTATTGGGTGAATGAATGGAAAATCTAGTTTGGAGACTGATCCTGAACTCCCCTCTATCTGCCTTAGTTTCCATGTCTCTAAAATGGGGGCAACAATCATGCCCACCCTCAGAGGCTCTTGTAAGGACTAAATGACATGTTCCATACGAGGGTCCTGGCCCAGCGCCTGGCATGTAGGGAGCATTTCCTAAATGTCAGTTATTCTTGCTCGGTCCCCTTCCAGGAGGGAGAACGACCTAGGGATGAAGGGGCAGAGGCAGCGCAGGTCGGAGAGGGGACGCAGAGCGGGCACTTGCCGAGGGCCCCAGCAGGGCCCCAGCCCAGGACGTCCGAAACCCGTGCCAGTGCCTAGGGGGCCTCTCATGACCTGCCTCATGCCAGGCACTGCGCAATCTCCCTCGGTCTTGATGGTCACCCGGAAGCAATCCCTCTTATTAATAACCCCATTTGGTAAATGAAGAAACGGAGGCACAGACAGACGTGGCACCTGCCCAAGGCCGCACTGTGAGGAGGAAGCCTTTCAGAGCCGGACCCTCCCCGCCGACCACCGTGTCACAGGTAGGGAAACTGCGGCTCTGAGAGGTTAGCCAGCCAGGGCTGCAGCCGGGGCTCTGCCGCTGCCTCGAGCCCTGTGCCTGCTCCCACCCGGGCCCTCAGCCCCCTGAGCTGAACACCCTGTCACCGTTAGCACCCGCCATCTGGCTGAGGGGGTCCGTGTGGCGGGCACAGGGGCCAGCGGGCTCGTGTCGTCCCACACCTGGCTCCCGGCCTGTCCCTGCTCTCTCCCGCCCTGGCTGACGGCCACAGCCCGGGGAGCCCTGGTGTCCAGGCAGCACGGACCAGAAGCCGCCGAGCAGAGAGTGACCTCCGAAGCCCAATTCCCCAGATTCAAAATCCTGAGGGGCTTCTGGCCGTGGGCAATTCTTTAACCTCTTGGTTTCATTTCCCCACTTGTATTTTTTTTGTTCCAGATTTGCCCTTGATGTCATCTTGAGGCTTCTGCCACCTCTGGGCGAAGCTCCCTGCTCAAAGTCCACCGTCCCAGCCATGATTAACACAGCGGGCTATCACTCCCGCCATCGGCACTTTCATTGACGACCAAGGCATCCTAACAGCCCCCCAAATACACACAATCTTACAGGAATACCCCATTTCTGTGTGTCCTGAGGCCAAGTTACATAACCTGAACCTCAGGTTCCTAATCAGTAAAATGGCAATAACTTTTCCTCAGGTTGTTCTCAGGATTCAAGGAGGTAACACACAGAATTGATATAAAGCATAGCTTGTCCATCAAAGGGCTAATGCCCACTTTATCCTCAGAGTTAAAAGAACTCTGATCTGTCCAAGCGGTGGATAGAGAGCTCCTCCCCCACCCTTAAGGGATGAATGCTGAGAAATTCTAAGGCACTCTCAGCAATCCCTGGTCTCTCCCTCAGGGAGTGGTTTAGGGGTACACGTGGGACCCAGATGGCCCATGGGACCATTGGGGTAAGTGGCAGTTTCCTCACTAAATAAAATGAGAAAGCTCTCTCCAGCTGCCCCTGCTGCGCGCCTTCGTCTCTAGGTCTGCATAAATGTGATGGCTGGAGCTGCAGCAGCCATCCTGTGACTATGAAGCAACTGGCAACAGACAGCAGAACAGAAAGGTGGAAGGAGTCTGGGTGTGAAGAGCACTGTTAGGCTCTGTGACCATGTACTGTAGATGCCTAGTTATGTGAGAAAGAAAACGTCTTTACTGTGTAAGTCAAAAGTTATGTGCAGCCAAAAGCATTTCCAGCTAATCAGTGGGTTTCAATCAACATTTTGTTTCAAGGAGCAGAATGACCCAGAAGTCTGCAATGAAGATGTGTTCAAAGCAAAACGATCCTCTTGAATTACACAATTATATGTGTGTGTGTGTGTGTGTGTGTGTGTGTGTGTGTGTGTGTGTTTTCCAGACTTTCCTGCTAAGGCACGAGGCGGGGAAGGCTTGCTGTGACCACTCTCCAAGGTCACATCTAGGCACCAGCCTCTCCCTAGAGAGAGACCCATGAGCGCACCCTCCGCCCCTTTGTCCTGTCCCAGAGCCAGACGTCAGCTGCCTTTCCGTCAGCCTCTTGGAAGGCACACCCCAGGATCGGCTCCGATTAGCTTCCCTGCGTCCCCAGCCCAGGCCAAGCCAGGGGCAGTGGGCTGAAGTGGACAGACACATGTCGTGGTCAGCTGTATCCTGCCCCTGCCTCTACTTGCAACAGCATGCTGGTCACTTTAGACTCCTGTCTGTCTGTCACCTCCCACACCCCACCCAGCTCCGTTAGATCTACCCGCCAAAACCCCAGGCTCTGACCCCTTCTCCCACCCTCCCCAGGGCCACCAGTTCTCAGGTCCCATGCCCCCTGCCTGGAATTCTGCAGTCACCTCCTCCCCAGTCCCCTCCTGCCAGCCTTGTCCCTACAGCCCGTGCTACACATAGTCAGAGGGATCTTATCTGACCAGAGTCGGCTGCTGTCCCTCCTGTGCTCAGGGCCCTGCAGTTTCTGGAGCCCTCCCAAGGCCCCGTGTGGCTGGCCACTGTCGCCCACCCCCACCCCCGCCCCAGCATCCCCATCATCCCTTCCTCTCGCTCCTGCCAGGTGGGCCTCCTCCTCGCTGCTCTCAGACACACCAAGCTCGCCCAGCACTGAGCCTCCAAGTTGCTGTGCCCTCCAAGAAGGGTCCAACCTCAGATATGCCTGGCTTGCTCCCCTCCTCCCGCAGGTCTCTGTTCCAACGTCCCTGCTCAATAAGCCTCTCTGACTTCCAGTGAAAACCATACCGCCCCTCCCCCACCATTTGAAGGGTAAATTCCCCCCACAGCTGCTACAATCTCTGCCCCTACCCTCAACCCTCACACTGGCAACCCGCCAACATGTTATACATTTCGCTTTTTTCTTGTTTATGAAATATGCCCCCCACCCCTCACCAGAATTGAAGACCCATGAGAAAACTTTGTCATGTTCACTGCTGCATCCCCAGAACCAAAGACAGTGCCTGGTATGCAGTCAGCGCTCAAAGAAGAAAAGGAACAAGCTAATGAGCCCTCTTATCGATTTTCTCTCCACCCTCTTCTAACCTCTTATTGCAAATCCCACACAAGAGCTGACAAGGAAGAGCATATCCACAGCGGAGGTGTCGCCTGAGTGCCAAGGGTACAAACTCTACCCCATCTCCACCCACCCACCCACTGGGAAGTCCAATGGGCACCCAAAGACAGCGCCTTCCCACACCCAAGGCACCAGTGTTTCCTCCCATCTTTCCTTTTGGCTACACATCGCTCCAAAGCCCCAGGACTTGTCCTTGAGTCTCAGCCCCCGCCTCCGCACGGCAATGCGCCCTGAGCCTTCCACCTCCAAACAGGTCTCAAGGCCACCGACTGCTCGCCATCTCTGCGACACCCCCTCACCCCCAGCTCACGCCTGGGATTCGCCACTTAGGGCAAAGTCCCATCAGGCTTCAAAGCCAACAGGCAGCCGTGGACACCGATGGAGCCCAGGAAACACGAGGCCACAGAAAGGCCTAAGGTGTGCCACCACTCGGAGAGCCCGGAACCAGGCCACGTCTGGCTTCGACCAAAGATCCTAAGCCACAAAAGAAAATGCCAAGTGTTGCCCTTCGCCTGCAGCGCATTTGCGAGGACTCTGTGCGCCTCCACCCCACCCTCCAGCTGCTGCTTTTTTTCCTCTCTTACTTTTTCTGCGCCCCTGGATCCCTCTATAATTTCTTCAGTCTTCCTTACTGCCTGTAATTTTGAGCCACAATGAATCCTTTATGAAGGAGATGAGGAACTATAATAATAGCGACATTTACTCTATGCCAGGTGCCCTCTGAAGCACTTTAAATGATTCGTCCATTAGATACTCAGAATAACCTAAAGGAGAAGGTATGGTTTTTTAGCTTCATCTTACAGGTGTGGAAACTGAGGCATAGAGAGGTTAAGAAGCTTGTCCAAGATCACTCATGTAGGAAGTGGCAGAGCTGGGACTTGAACCTGGGTCTGCCTGGCTACAAGTAAAGCACAAGCTGTGGGCTGGTTTCAGGGGATCCTAAGGAGAGGGCCGCGTAGCTCAATGGTTCTTCCCAAGTGTGCAAGTCTGAATTTACATCCAGGGTCATTTCAAGACCTCCCAGACCTTAGGATCCCACATCATAGCAAACAGATTAAAATGCACCCACAGCCTACATTAGATATGTTTTGGGGGCTTGTAAAATATTTTAAAGGGTTTTTCTAAACTTGCTTTTGAAGGTATTTGATGCCAAGAAACAATTACTTTACAGATTTGCTGTGATTTCTAGGCAATCATCAGGAATTTGTGCAACATGAGAAAATCCAGCCAGCAAACTGTTTTTGAAAGGAATGAGGTTTTCATGAACGTTCAATGAAGGTTGACATAAAGCTGTAAATGTTTAAACATTTATCCACTTTGATTTTGCAGTAGTCTCTTCGTCTTTGGAGCCAATATGTTCTTTTTACAGACCACAAAGGCACATTCTCACAGGCTCCCTGAAAAGTTTGCAGAATTGAGGCACAAGTGGATGAGACAGGCCAGTCCGGGTCACAGCTTTGCTGCCACAAGGCATGTGCCCCGGACCAGGCACTCGGCTTCTCTGGGCCCCACTTCCCCAGCTGTAAGTGGGTTGGAGGACTCAATGGGATAAAGCCCAAAGCGCAGCCAGCACCTGGCCCCGAGTCAGCGCCCGTGAACAGGAGTCATAAAGGACAACGGGCAGGTAGACAGGAGTGCCCACAGCACCTGATGGAACGAATACCTTTGGGGAGTTGCAGCAAAATTGACACATAGATTTTCCAAGCCTCTGCCCAAACCCTGCCCACTGAAAACTTAGGTGAACGTACAAACTTGGCAAATGCCACATGGCGGCTCCAGCGTGGTGCCAGGATGAGACCAACTTGTCCCAATTTGCCCAGGACCGTCCCAGTTTTAAAACTGAAAGCCTTAAGGTGGCAGCAACCTGAGGGTCCACTGTCTGGTGAATTGATAAATAAAATGTGATCTATCTGTACCATGGGATATTATTCAGTCTTAAAGAGGGAGGAAATTCTGACACATTACAACACGGAGGGACCTTCAGACATTATGCTGAGTAAAATCAGCCAGCCACAGAAAGACAAAAGCATCTGATCCCACAGATACAGGGCACCTAGAGCAGTTGGGAGTCATAGGGAGAAAGTAGAAGGGTGGTTTCCCGGGCCTGGGGGAGGGGGAATGGGGAGCTGGTGTTTAATGGGTTCAGAGTTTCAGTTTTGCAAGATGGCAAGAGCTCTAGAGACGGACGGTGGTGATGGTTGAACAGCGATGGGAATGTAGCCAAAAAACCGCTGAACTGTATACTTAAAAATGGCTAAGATGGTGACCTTTATGTGTATTTTACCACAAGTAAAAAATAATTCAAAGCTAAAAAAGAGAAAGACCTCAAAGGACCCCATTCCAGTTAGGCCCCCGGTCCCGGGCAGAGCGAGGCGGTGGCCCCAGAGTCCGGGGGCAGCTCTCACCTGGGCCAGCAGCCAGTCCACCAGCTTGCTCCCAGGCAGCACCGACTTGTACGTCTTCAGGTGGTAATCACGGTCCCTGCGGAGAGGAGGAAGCGCACTGTGAGCAGGCTGGGCAGGATGGGGAGGGGACGGACCCCGCTTCCCTGCTTCCAGTGCCCTGATCCAAAGGTTTCCAGGCTCTCTAGACTCGGTAGGGGAGGACGGGGGAGGGCTAGGGGACAGCACTGGGTAGGGAGTCTCGGCCTGAATTGCACACCTCACTCACCGTGTGACCTGGAGCACATCTATCCCAACCCAGGACCCCCTCTCACCTACAGAGTGAGAGGACAGGAGGTGAGGGCTCTAAGGCTCCTCTCTCCAGCCCAGGGGTTCTCAGGCAGGGGCAACTTTGCCCCCCAAGGAACACCTGGCTGTGTCTGAAGACAGCTCTGGCCATTACTGCCTGGCAGGAGGTGGGCGCACTACTCACGCACAGCAGGTAGAGACCAGGGGTGCTGCTAACCATCCCAGACACCCGGAAGACCTCGCAAATAAAGAATTATCTGGCTCAAAATGTCAACAGCACCATGACATTGAAAACTGACTCGCTCTGAGTAATGAAAAAAACTCTCAATTTCTCTTTCCTTTTTGTCTGTTCTGATGTCGATATTCATGCGGGCAGAGGTAACAAGCTCTTCCAGTGTGGAAGCGCCTCTCCCAGGGCTGGTGTGGGGAATCAGGCCGGGCAGAGGGCAGGGGCCTTGGGACATGCCTGGTTCTTTAGGCGCTAAATGCTCCGGCCCGTGTGGCCTCTAACCTCCTGCTGGGTCCTGGTACAAAGGCTTCTGCTGACCTCACAACCCAATTGTAATAATGTCTCAGCCTCTGAAGCCGACAAAAGTGAGTGTGTGGCCAGCCCATGTCGAGGCTGATGAAGTCCAGATGGGGAGTTTTTCTCAGGTCTTTAGGAGCTGGAATGTCCAGCAGGCCAGGTCATGGAGGGGACCTTCTGGGACCTGCAGCAGGGCAGCAGGGGAGGGGCTGAGGAGGCGGAGGCAGGTCTGGAGATAAAAGTGGTTCCTGCGGCCTGACCTCCAACAATGAGGCCAAAGGCCAACAAGGCCAGCAAATGCCAGGAAAGGCCCTTCCGCTTCTCCTCTGAGAGGTAGTAAGAGCTGTCAGGACAAAGGGGCAGAGGAATCTGCTCCTGGATTAGAACTGAGTCAACCTCTCTGCCCCTTCACCTGCAACCATAAGCTTCATGGTAAAGAGAACTACCATTCGCTGGCATTTCCAGAGCACTCGCTCACTAGGCGCCAGGCGCCCTCCGCATGGAATCCTCACGACAGCCCAACAGGTATGGGCTAATTTATGCCCATTTCACAGATGCAGAAAGAGACAGCCACTATCTTTCAGCAGTCACTCAACCCATATTCACTAAGTGCTACTTTGCCCTAGGCCTGCGTTCTCCAACATGTGGCCACTTTGCAATCAATGAATAAATACTAAATCAAATTTAAAAGGACATTCCTCAGTCTCCAGGGCTAGAGAGACACATGGACTGGAGGCCACTGGGCCAGACGGCACAGACGTAGAGCCTTTCTACCGCCGTGGGAAGGTCCACTGGACAGCACTGCTCCAGGTGCTGTGCAAGCGTCTGAGGACACAGCAGTGAGCAAGTTCCCTGGCCCCGGTAAGTGTACAATTCAGGGCAGAAAAAAGGCAGTACACAGATAAAGAAATATATGTATGTCAACTGACATACTCACAACAGTCATATTGACAAGTTGAAGGAGAAAACCAAAGGGAAGTAAGGAGCACAGTTTGTACCCGATGGTGATACTCTGAGAAAGTGGCCAGGAAGGCCCTCTGTGACCTCTGGAGAAGGTCAGGAAGCAAATATGCATGTATGTAAGGGAAGAGTATTTCCGGTCAAGGGAACAGCAAGTGCCAAGGCCCTGAGGTGGGTCCTATTAGTAACCCTGTTCCGCAGAGGAAAAAGTGGAGGCTCCAGGAGGTTAACTCTGCCCAAGGTCACACAGCTGGTAACTAGCAGGCTAAGGTTCTAACTCACCACCATGCTGCAGCTGTTCAACTGCACTTAGCCCTAACCCACTTAGCGCTACTGACAAACCTACAGGGCAGGTATGACTGTTAGCCCCATCTGATGAAGAGTAAGACTGAGACTCAGCGAAGCTGTCAGCCCAAGGCCACAGAGCCGAGGAGAGGCAGAGGTGACATTGAGGCTGGCAGACAGTGACTTACTTGATCACGGGGGTGTAGAGGCTGTGGAGGCGGCAGTAAAGCCTCACACCCTGAAAGAGAAAAGGGGGGAGTCTGAGATCAGGCCACGTCTTTCGGGGGTCTTCAAATCCAGGCTACCAGGAGAGGTGGCTCCCAGGAAAGGACAGGCGGGTGGGGGACAGGGAAGCGGGGGAGGGAAGAGGGAGACAGGTAGGGGCCGTGGAGGAGGAGAGGCCACCGGGGTCCAGGCCCGCTGTGTGGTGACTGAAGGGTCAGGGTGAGGGGGTCAGAGTGACAGGGTCCCTACCTTGGACATGATGTCCTCCAGCTCACTCCGCGCCTTGTAGGTGCCATCATCGTAGCGGAAGCGGTACATCACCTGCTCGTTCTTGAACTGGTGCTTGTCCGAGACTAGAGGGACCCGGGGCGGGGGGGGGGGGCGGGCGGTAAAACAGGGCAGTCCCCCTCGGCCCCTCCAGGCCCTGCCCTCCCCTCAGCCGAGCTCTGTGCCAAGTGAGCTTTCTCTGAACCTCCTGCTCGTGCTACGTGCGGGACCCTGCCGCGAGCTGCAGCTCAGGTCTGGTGCACCTGCAGGACTCGTGAGAGGCCCGGAAATCCCCGATCCAGCCTGCGTTGGGAGCCGCCGGGCCCAGCGTCTCCTCGGAGCAAGAGCACCAAAGCATGTGTAGGGACCAAGTGTGCTGGGTCTGAGACCACACTGTCAGGATTTATGGGACCACCTTTACGCCACGGCCCTGGGCCGCCCTTGGTGTTGCTTCCTCTCACTCCCCACTTTGGATCCACTAGCAAATCCTGTCAGCTCTTCCTTCATGACACTCTACCCTCCCACCTGGTCCAAGCCACCTTCTTCTCCCGCCTGGACCATCACAGCTGCCTCCTCACGGAGTGCCCTGCTGCTACCGCCGGCACAGCAGTGTGCTCTTGGCACGGCGGCCAAAAGGACCGTCCGAGTCTGAGTCTAGGCGGGTCTTTCCTCTACTCAGAACTCAGCAGTGGCTTTGCAGGTCACTCAGAGCCAAGCCAAAGACCGTACAATCCTGTAAGGTTCTGAACCCCATCCCCTGAACACTCCCCCCGGCCCTGTGCCCTCTGACCCCATTGAACGCTCCCCACGCCCTCTCCGCAGCAGCTGTGTCCTGGCCTCCTTGTGCCCCGCCCCAACAAACCGCTCATCCTCCTGTCCTGGGGACTTCTCACTGGCTGCTCCCTCTGCCTGGAATCCCAAAGCCCACCTGGCTCCCTCCCTCTCTCAGGTGCCGGCTCCGTCATCGCCTTCTCGGTGAGGCCTCCCCAACTCGCCTATTCAAAACTGGACCCCACTCCCTGCTTTGTCTCCCTCCCCAGCACCTACCACCACCTGTATACGCTTGTTTTTATTTATCGTGTTTACTGTCTTCTCCCTGCAGCTGGGAACTTGGCCCATGAGAACAAGAGTTTTCATCAGTCCTGTCTACGGCTGTGTGGACAATGCCTGGCCCGAAACAGGCACTCAAGAAATTTACACAAATGGGTCTTGTCTTTTCTGAAAAAAAGACAGAAAATTCTACTTCCCTGACCCCATCTTTCCTACGTGTCCCCGTGTTGCTGGTAAGCAGGGGAGTGAGCAGTTTTATGAGGGCATCCACATCCCCGGGGACCCGCACAGCTGCACCGACGCACAGAAGTCGCCCCTGAGTTAGTGGAAACGGCACAGCTGCAGCCTGACCTATTCCCGCCATGTGGCCCCCGCGGGCCCAGCACCCACCCACTCACCATGGTGGATAATGCCATTCTCCAATAAGGCTTGGCCCAAGTTGACTCCTTCTTCAGTCTTGCTGATTTCACCAATCTCCAGGAGCCAGGAAACAAACTCACTGCCAGGAACATCACATGCGGTTGAGAAGACCTCCCGGTCCTGGGACCCCCAGGGACCACCACTAAGCTGGCCTGGCCTCACCCGCTCCTGGGAAGGACAGCTAAAACTTCCTGCCCAGAAGCGAAGTTTGGGGGCCCATAGCCTGAGGGTTGTGCTGAGACCGCATGCTTCTCCCTGTGACCAATGGCAGAGGGGTGGGTATAACCAGCCCCCAGGCCCTGCCTCGGATGGAGGGATGGAGGGATGGATGGGGGAGTGAGAGGATGGATAGACGGACACATGAGTAGGTAGGTAAATGAATGAAAAGTGAATGAGTAAATGGATGGCTTGACAGGCGAATGAGAGGTGGCTGGGAAGACTGCTGAGCAGGTGGGTAGGTGGTAAGCGCAGAGATAACTGGGTAGATGGGTTGCGGAATGGATGATGGATGGCTAGATGGATGGATGGAGGGAGAAACAGAAGCAATGAAGAAACAATCAGGAAGAAATAAGGGTCCAGAAAGATAATTGTGGAGAGTCAAGAGAGAGAATGGTGATCAAATCAGGTCAGCCTCCTACTTAAAACCCTCCAGCGGGCTTCCCCATCTCTCTCAGGAAGAAACCGGCCCATTCCTCACTGGTCTCATCCCCTGTGTCCTTCACTTATTATGCTTTGGCCGCACCCACTACCTTCCCCTTCTTAAAAAAAATGCCAGACTCCTGCCGGCCTCAGGGCCTTTGCACTTACTGTTCCCTCTGCCTATAAACACTGTTCCTAACCCTTTTCATCCTTCAGGTCTCAGCTCAAATGTCACCTCCTCAAAGAAGCCTTCCCAGCCCACCTCATCAAAAGTAGTCCCTCATCCCCATTCAACCCATCACATCTCTCGGTGTGACCTCCCTTTTAATACTCGTAACTGTCTGAAGTTGTACTGTTGGCAGGTTTCCTCATGTTTATCAGCCACCTCCCCCAATCCCCAGAATTCAGGCTCTATGCTGTCAAATTCATGGCTCCTCCCCCAGAACTGAGAATGGGGTCTAAAGCACAAGAGGGCTCAATAATCATTTACTGAACAGATGAAGGAATGAACCATTGAGCAAGAAGGAATGTTCTGGGACCAGGAGGAAGGTCTCAGGGAGAAAGCTGGGTTCACAGGCCAGAAGAAAGCAGGTAAACCCAACATGACTACCCAGTGGGGTAGAGGCTCAGCCAGACCCCAGCTACTGGCTCCTGGTGGGTGCTCCAGCCCAGCACCGTGCTCAGCCCACTCAGAGTCAGCAGGAAAAGGGAGAGCTGGGAACGGGACCGTTTCCGCCTAGCAATCTGTGTTCAATGAAAGCAGGTGGCAGCTGGCCAGAGCACAGCGCTCTCCTGCTTATCGAAACCAGCTGTCCCGCCTCCAATTACAGGGCCAGAGGGGGGCAGGGCTATTTTTAGCTTTCCAGGATTTGCTGAGCAAAGACCTGCCTTGTGTGTAGGTAGTGGTTGTGTGCAAGGCATTCAGTGAGCCCCGGGTGCAGGGGCATAGAAGAAATAGATCTATTTTGTGGAGCAGAACCCCAGGTGGGAAAAAGACTGTTCTGGGTCCTGCCCACCCCCAGTTCCATTCTCTAAGTCCCAAAAATCAGGGACAGAAAGTTACCAGCAGCCGAGAGAAGTGAACAGATGTTGAGTGCCCACTCTCGGAGGCTGGAGGCTCGGCGTCCGGCTGCCCACCCGCTGTCCCACTGGGGGCCGCTCTGGGGTGCGGGGCCAGGAAGTGACCCACAGCAGATGCTAGGACAGAGGACAGAGCAGAGGACAGCAATGGTGACTGTGTTTCTGCCCTGAGCAGAGTCTTGCCCCTTGTAGAGGACAAAGGAGTGTTCCCTGGATTCAACAGGTAAACTTTCTAATCAAATAAAATCTGAAACTGGGACCCAACGTGCAAAACCGGATAAATTTCATCTCTGAAAAGGGGAGCCGGTCCTCAGTGTGGCTGCCTCTCGCTGCACTGGGAAGACTAAGGCAGCTTATGGCTTTTCAAGAGAAGCCGGAAATCCCTCATTTCCTGTGAAAGCTCCCAACTGGTTAACGTAGATATCAAGTCCAAATTTTCTGAAAGCACCATGTGGCCTATAAAAAACACATCTGTAAACTGCACTGGGTCAGTGGGGCACCACTAATCACCGCTGGGGTGCAGGGAAGGGTGTTCTAAACAGGGGGATCCGCATCCACCAAGGCCCTGAACGAAGGAAAGTTAGGAAACCAGCGATCTGCCGGCTGCCGGGGGCTGCAACGAACAGCAAGATCCAGTCCTGCAGCAGGACAGAACCCGGGCGGTGACCGGGGGGTACAGAGAGGTGGTCAACCTGGTCTGGTGGCAAGTTTGAAATTCAGAGGATGGGGGACTGCTGAGAGTTAACATGTGTCCGGCTTCCATCCCTGCTTCCTTCCTGGTCCCCCGAAGCATTCCCCCAGTACACACGTGTTCGGCCTACCACGTGCCAAGCCCCGTGTTGGCCACAGTCTTGTAGGGTCGTGCCCTAGCTGAGGCCCACTGTACCACTCAGCATCCAGTGCAAGAATCCCCTTTCCCTGCCTATTCTTCCATGGCCTCGAGGTCCATGAGGGAAGGGACTAAAGGGTTTATAGTCATCCCTGTAACTCCACTGCCTGAAGACGCTCCCTGAAGTTATCACAGCAGTGTTCTACAAGTCGTTATCGATCAGCTACTACATGCTAATACCGTGCACCTGTGCACACAGGCCGACAAGACAGCTCAGCCTCTTCCACCTCAGAGCTTCCGTTCTGGCAGGTGTGAACAAACTGAATGGCATCTGACCTGTGTCAAGCGTGACACCAAAGGCCTTCTCCTTCCAGGACACCTTCCCTGGCGGCCCCCGCCAGGCAGGCCCTCACGCCCTGGCCCCTGAGCTCTAACAGCTCTGACAGTGTCCTCATTCAGGGCCTGCGTGATGGTTCACCCTCACCTCCCTCTTCTGCTTAGACTCTCTCAGTGGCTCCCCAGAGCACTCAGAATAAAAATCTGAACCTCTTACCCGTCCCTGCCTGATCTGGCCCCGTCAACCCCTGTGGCGTGGCCCCCCAGCCCTCTGCCACTCCCTCCCTCCCTCCAGCCACACTGACCTCCTCACTGTCCCTCCGTGACTCCCTCAAGGCTCACTCCGCCTTGGAGCTCACGCACCTGCCGCTCCCTCTGCCAGGACGCTGTTCCCCCAGACCTTTTCAAGACCGACTCTTGCTTGTCATCCGGACTTTGGTTAAATGTCACCTCCCCTGAGAGGCTCTTCCTGACCACGTGGTTGAAACAGCACCCTTTTTCCTTGCCTCCTTATAACTTCCTTCCTTCCCTACAGCATATTCAACTCTCTGAAGTTCCCTTCTTTGATTAGCTTTATTTCTATTTGTCTGCCTGTCTGCTCATTCCCTGACTGGCTGGTTATCTCTGGGAAGTCAGGGATCCCGTCTGTCCTCTCCACAGCTGGCACGCAGTCAGTAAACACGGAGTGAACTGGACGAGTGGGTGAAGCATCGATTCTGTCTCCCCAGCTCATCTGAGGGTCCTAGAGGACAGATTTTATTCCTCGGTTTTCTTCACGTGGCCCCCGTGAGTTCTGTCTCTGAGCCGGGCCACTCCCTTAAGCCCGGCACCCATCTCTGTCACTCTCGCCAGCACTGTGTTCGGCACGTCCCTTGCACCTTCTCACAGTATCCCCCAGCAACCCTATCAGGCCCGTTTTATTTTCTCTCATTAATCAATCATTTACTAGCCTCAGAGGAGCTAAGAAACGGGCCCAAGTCACACAGGCAGACAGCGTGGGTTCCAGGACTTGCGTCCAAGTCTGACGCAAAGCCCAATCCCTGCAGGTTATAAAGATAAATCAGACACTTTTTATTTCCATGGAATTCCCTGTCTGCTAGTGGAGAGAAATGTGGAGAAAGTAAAACTATCAAGTAAAAATGAAATGTGCTGAATAGAGATGAAAATGGGCAAGCGCAGCAGGACCAAGGCCCGGGTTCCGGCCCAGCCTCCCGCTTGTGACCTTGTACAGGGCCTTCTCCCTCTCTGTGCCTCAGTTTCCTCAGCCTTAAAATGGGGATAATGGCAGGAACCTGCCTCACCGTGCTGGACGATGGTTAAAGGTATGGCCACGTGCCAGTCCCTGGGGCGGAGAAAGACTCGATAACCATGACGCCGTGACTGCTGGCTCCTTCCACCGGAGGGGACCAGGGTGCTCCTGGAGGAGCAGGCTGGGGAGCTGAGCCTTGCGGAGAGGGAGGAGACCGCAGGCCCCAAGCTGAGTGCAGAGCGAAGCCATGCAGGGAGGAGCTTTCCAGAACAGTCGCCTGCTGGACACGGGTCCTTAAGGCCCTGGCGATTACACAACAAGCTTCAATTCTGGCCCTGTTTCAAGCAGGCAGTAAAAGAAATCGCCCTAATCCTTCCTGAGAAGACGGAACACTCCGTCAAAGCCCTCATCAGCGAAGGTTATCCCATCCGGCTGGACTGTGTTCTCAGATGGCTCTGGCAGGAGGCTGGGAGGCCCTCCAACCCCGGGGGGCCGGAAGAAGGCCCCTCCTGGAAGGAAACATCCCTTCTGCCCAGGGATTAGTGGCGAACTGATGGAGAGGAGCCAAGCTGTCCCATCCCCGCTTCCCACATCTCCTCTCCACCCAGGGAGCTTGGAGCTGGGGTGGCTGACCCCTGAGGGCAACAGGGCGCCCTGGTCACCCCTCAGGGGCCCAACCACCCCCGAACCCCCTGCCCGCTGCCCTGCCAACCACAAGCCTCAGGCCGTGGCCAATCCATCTGCCCGGCCCCACAGTCGCACAGCCCCTCCAGCGTTGACGCTTGACCGCCTACCAGGCACTTCAACCTGACACGCCCAAACCTGAGCTCCTGCTTCCACCTGTCTCTGCACCTCTCTTCACCTGGCTTCCGAGCACCACACTCACCCCACGCGCCCCTCTCTCAGGCTCCTTCGCTGGTCCCCCCTCCACAGGCCATCAGGCCCCAGGACCCAGGCCCTGCCTCGTCGCTCTCCACACGTCCCCTTCCGATTTCATTCAGTCTCTCTGGCCTTAAACCATCTAAATGCCCTTAGATCTCCTGCACTTAGATCTCCAATCCAGACTTTTCTCCCCAAGTCAAGATTTTATTTCCAACTAGCAGGTCAACATCTCCATCCGGGTGTCTAACAGTCTCAGTGCAACTGTGCATACGGAGCCTCTGAGCTCTCCTCTCGCCTGCTAAAACCTGCTCCTCCCTCCAGCCCCCTCCCCTCCTCAGCAGGCGGCAGCTCCGGCTTTCCTGGGGCTCGCGATCCTTAACTGCCCTTGTTCTCACCCCACCAGCAACTGCCGTCACCTTCATAAGGACCCAGGATGCGACCATCTTCCCCCATCTCCTCCGTGACTGCCCTCGTCCAAGTCACCTCTCCCCTGGTCTACGGCACTACAATAACCCAGTGGCTTTTACCTGAAGGCTCTTCAAAAGCTTTTAGGAAGCAGATGAGATATGAGTGAAGAAATTCTGAATAAAGTCCCTGCCTCACAGGCAAACGTCTCTCCGAAGGTGGACACAGCCTCAGAGGTGGGGAGCCCTTAGCATTCTTCCACCCTCTCCCGTGCCGACCACTGTGCCTAGCACACAGCAGGGCCTGGAAACAGCCTGCCAGTTTTATCCAGACTGCATGTTCTCTGCCTCTCCCAATCCCCAGGTGAATGACGCCACCCCAGGTGAATGGAACCTGGGTCTGAGATTCAATCTGGTCACACCTGTGCTCTGACCCCTTTGCTCCTTATTTATGAAATGCAAGCAGGGGTAAGATGTCTTATTCGTAGTAAATAATGTATTTCCCAGAGAAATTAGAGGCCCTAAGTACTGAAAAGCTTACGGTACCCTCCCCGCTCCTCCTCCCTCATATGAGCTCAGGAAGGGTGGCCTTGCTGGACACCTTGTTCTCAGACTTCCAGCCTCCAGCACTGAGAAAATAAATTTCTGTTGTTGAAGCTGCCCGCTCTGTGGCACGTTGTCATGGCAGCCCCAGCAGACTGACACAGGGCCTACGTTTGCTCTTTCAGACCTTCCACCACCTTCGTCATCAACTCCTCATGTTAAATACCTCTCTGCTGGAAATATCTACAGTGGCTTCTCTTTCCTTGAACATTAGGGCAGCGTTTTTCCATCCATGGTGGGCAACCCATTCGTAGTTTGCAAAATGAATTTCACGGGGCTTGCTCAGGATTATTGTTGAAATGAATAAAGAAATAAGTTGAATAGACTAGAAAGGATAGGATAGGACAGGACAGGACAGAAATCGAATAGGGAAAACAGAACAGATATTTTCAGAGTACATCAAGCACAGTAAGTTTTGTGAATCTTCAGCTTCACTCACATACTGCACAGATGTGTGTACCAGATCACAACATAAAACTTAGGGTTTGCAGTGAGGTATGGTCACAAACGTTTGAAAGACTGATATGGGGCCCACTATCCTTCTTGGCCTCCGAGGACTGTTCCACAAGGATTCGGGGTTCTGTAGTGGCTCTTCCCAGGGGGGTCCTGTGGGGAGGGGGAGGGCTGGGAAGAGCGAGGTGGGCACAGAGGGTCTGGCTACCTCCAGCTTCCACTGAGACCCAGGAGCCAGCAGAGGCCAGGGCGGGGCCACTCACTTTCCAAGGAAGCACTTGGGGACGGTGCTCAGCTTCCTCCGGCGGTCCTTGATCAGGTTCACCTTCTTGTTCATCATCATGTGGTAGAGCTTCTCCCCCTTCTCCGCAATCATGACGTAGGCGTCCCGCTCCATGCCCAGCTTCAGGCCTACGGAGGAGGCACAGTCAGCACCAGGGACAGCGCCAGCGCTGGGGAGCCTGGGGCAGGCCCTTCACTCCTGGAAGCTGCCCCCCACCCTGGCTGCCCCCACCACTCCCACAGCCAGCAGCCGTCTATAAAGCACTCCCTGCACCGTGGTCACTGCCCGAGGCCCCTCGGAAGAACCCGGCAGGGGAGGGTGGCTAATCTCCCCCATTTTACAGACGGCAAAGCTGAGGCCCAGAGAAATGAAGTCGGAAGTCTCAGAATAAAAGGCAGTTAAACTGATTAAAGTCTTCAACCTGAGGGTAAGTTTTCAAATCCAGGGCTGATCAGAAAGAAAGTCTGCTGAGATCTTCCTTCCAGCCAGAGATGGAAATCTGCCCGTTTCTCTAGAAATCACACAAAGGACCCTGACCCATATCAGTGCCCCAAGTTTTCTACTTGGACCCTGTCCACTCCTGACAGTAACAGCAACAGCGAACAATCAGAAAATGCTATAAGCACTACTATAGGCCACTTAATCCTCAGGAAACCTACAAGCAAGGACCATTATCCCTATTTCACATATGAAGAAACTGAGACCCGGGGAAGTTTAAGTTCTCTGTACGTGGTTACCCAACGAGAAGTGGTAGAACCACGATTTAGACCCAGGAAGTTTGGCTCCATCTGCTCTTGGCCACAGCATGTGCCACCACCCCTGTCAACACAGCCCTGAGATCAGTAACACCCCGATTCCAACGACCAAGGCCCTCTCGGGCCACAGGTCACTCGTGGTCACATACTCTCTGCACTGACCACAACCTTCGATTGGACCACAAAGACACTGATCTGCTGCACCCAGGCCAGGCCACACCCCTGATCCCCTCCCAGTCCTGACCACACACCCAGCCCTGATCAGTTTCCAATGTCAAAACCAGGGGCCAAATTCAGTGGCTTATTTGGCCTAATGGTATTTTAATACATTTTAACGTAATATTTAAAATGTATTAAAATACCACCTTAAAATCCAGATGGTAAGTTTCTCTAGGAAAAAGATAAAAATCGATGGATCTAGTCATGCTGGGCTCATATTCTTGAGAGGTGACGGCCACTTGTGCTTGGGGAGAAGTAGGGACAGGACAGAAGTGGATGGACCTGGCATGTGTGTGGAAGCAGAAGAATTAAGAGGATTTGATCTACTGGATTTGGTGAGCAGGCTGAAATCAGAGATGACACCAAGAGTTTTTGAAACTAAGCTTGTGAGAGAACGGAGGAGCCGCTCACTGAGACAGGGAAGCGGATGGGATGAGCAGGTCTGGGCAGAAGATACGATGCAAATGAAGAGTTCAGAGCAGACAAGCTGTGAGAAGTCCAGGCACTTCTGGGAGGAAGGTCAAGAGGGACTTTAGGCTCCTGTCTCAAACTGCCAAGTAGGGCCAAATCCAGCCTCACTTAGCAGCACTACAGTCCCCTGCAGCAGAGACGCGCATCCCCACGTGTCACTGACGTCCAGGCAGCTGAAGAAACTTGCCCTAAACATTCCGTGCCTTGTCTTTCCCAGCCTGGCGGTGACTGCGCCCCAGGCCAGTGCGCACCCTGACCCCAGCCAATGATCACACCCAGCCCTGCACCTCCCATGGAGGCTGCCTGGGTCCAGACAGGTTCCTGACCACAGTGATGGGCAGCCCCCAAGGACCCTCCTCCCCAGCACAGACTCGGTGAATCTCTAACACAAAGAACCCCAGGGGAAAGAATAGAACCATGGAGGAGAAAAGGTATGTAGGGATTATCTTGGCAACCAAACCTCAAGGTGAAGGGTGCCAGGAATCCCAGGATGATCAACCAAATCGACATGACCTTGGGCAAGTGCCTTCCATTGGGCCTCAGCTTCAAGATCTACCTAGGGGGCTAAACCAGGTGACCTCAGGTGGTCTGAGATACCACCCAGTTATAACACAGTCCCAGAGCTCCCTGCCCCCTCCAAGACCTGCTTCTTGCAGCTCTGACATTTCTAGAAAGGACCCTATGCCCCTTCCCTAGGCACTATGCAGAAGTGACCAGCCTGGGGAGAGCCATACACACCCCAGGGGTCCCAGGAAAGCCCCCCAAAGCCACCACTCTCCAGAGGAGCGGGAGATGGCCCAGCCACTCACTCTCGCGTTGCTCCCGCTCGCGGATGATGGCGTCCAGCCACTTCTGCTTCTCCTCCGCCGTCTTGGCCATGCAGACAAACCACTTGTTCTTGGCCGTGTTGTGGATCTTCCAGCCGTTGGTGACAGTGTAGCCGTTGCTGTGGTAATCCGCTGGCAAAGGTGGGGCAAAGGTGGGTCAGCAGACTCAGCCACACAACTCTGATCATTCCCAACCACACACTTGTGAGTGAGGGGACGGGGCCAGCCCTCTGGCTTCGGAAAGACAGGGCGCAGAGGTGTGGACAGGACCAGGATTTGAGAGTTGAACTTTCAACCCTTCCCATGCTCACTCCCTCTCCTGGCTCTTCTCTGGTGGGCAAGGAAGACCTGCAAACAGAGACCCCTCCCAAGCCCTCCATGACAGGGGCTTCTAGACCTCACAGTCCAGGCAGAAACGCAGGAGTGACTCAAGGGAAGACACCTGTCCAGAGCCCAGGAACACATCCCTGCCTCCCTGCCCGGCTCATTGGCACCCTCGGGCTGCTTGAACCCTAGTGCAAGCCAGGCCACACCAGGCTGCGGGCCCTCGCGCACTGCTGGCTGGGTTGGGACCGGCAAACTCTGTGACAACAGGTTGGTGTTCTTCAGGGAAGCTGATTCAGGGTACAGCCTGTACCCTGAAGCTGAGGAGCGGGCCACAGGTTTCATGAGACCACCCGAAGGGTCTGTGGGTCAAAACCCATGAAGAACCCCTACCCTCAACAAGATCAAGAGATTCCCATGAGAATTCTCACAGCCCCACTGTTCATAATAGTCAACAGTGGAAATAACCAAAGTATCCATCCCCAAAGGAATGGGCACACTGTGGACTATTCGTGCAACAGAATATTCTACAGCGATGGGAACCAGCAAACCAGGGAGAGCTATCAGTACATACAGAAACACGAACGAATCTCACCAACGCGGGGCTGAGTGAAAGAAGTGCGATGCAAAAGAACGTGTGGTATTTATGACCATTTAAATATAAAGATAATAAATAAATATAAATATATATTTAAAGCCATTTTATATATATATATATATATATATATATATATATATATGACCATTTAAATAAGATTTTAAAACAGAGAAACTGTGATTAAAATAATAATGCACATTTAGGAGGTAAAACTATCTTAAAAAGCAAGAAAATGGCCATTACAATATTTGGAAGCAGTTACTTCTGAGGGGAAGGAGGCACTGTGACCAGGGAGGGGCAGGTGAGGGGTTCCAGGGTGCAGGTAGCATTTTACTCATTCACCAGAACGGCGACTACCTGGATACCATCTTTTGCCGTGTATAATGCGCACCCACGTTTCTGGCCTAAGCTTTCTGAAAAAAAGAAATCTTTTGTTTTGGTTTTTTAATTCAATGTTTATTTATATTTCAAATATATTTATATTTATAGGTATTTGGTTTTTTGTGTTATAAAGGGATTTTAGCATTTACTTTTTAACATATTATGGTAAAAATAATATATTTTTAATATATTATGTAACAAATAACTACAAAACACAAGAACAGATACAAGATATTTCAGGTACTACCCATGTATAATACACATCCTTCTTTTTCCCTCAAAAATGTGAGCAAAAAAGTGCACATTATACACGGCAAAATAAGGTATTCATTTTGCGTGCACAAGTTTTAGGCACTTTTCTGTAGATAGGTTCCATTTCAAATAAAAGGAAAAACGGACACAGACCATGCCGTGGAGCCGGTGGGACTGGGCTCAGGCAGGGTTTGGGGGCGGGGCCTACCTGTCCCGTCTTCCACGTTCTCCACCTCCATGACTTCAGTGTTGATTCGGCCCCTGAAGATGTAGAGGGAGCCGTTGATGGATTTGGTCCTCTTGGTGGATTTCTTGCCCCCGGTGACCCTGAAAGACAGTGGGAAGTCAATGTCCTCCACGCCTCACCCCACGGGGTCAATGCTCCTCAGCGGAGCCCCGGAAGGAAGAGCAGTTAACACGGAGAGGCGCCGGGGACGGGGGGAGCGCTGCACCGGGGTCCAGAGCTCCGGCTTTTGCCTGGTGGTTCGGTGACTTCTCCACTCCCAGCCACAGTTTCCTCAGTTGAAAAAGGGGCTAGTGGCCTTGCTGCCTTCACAGAGCTCCTTTTCGGCCAGCAGGAGACACCGATGACAAACCAACAAGAAGCAATTCTTCTTGGCTAGAAAATGGGTTAAGGCCCTCAAAGTGTCTAACAAACAGGTGCTTCCTGAAATAAGACCAGAGTGCCAGAAAGCTCGGAGTAGGCAGTCCGTCCACACGTTCATCCACATCCACCCACCCGCCGTTCGTTCATTTGCTCAAATGAATTCTATGGCTCACCCATTTAGTTGCTCAACACACATCTGACCAGCGCTTCCTGTGAGAAAATCCCAGGTTGGAACCTGGGGCAGTCACGCACCCACGCATTCAACAAGCACTCAGAGGACACCTACTGGGTTCCAGGCATACTCTTCTAGGTGCTGGGGCTGCGGTAACAAATAAAAAACAGAAAAACAGTGTGTTTGAGAATTCATCTTCCAATATGGGGGGGGAGGGGACAGAGACAGATGCTAAGTAAAGAGGTCAAACTCCTTATGGCAGAGGGGCTAAATGTTGCGGTTAAAATAAAGCAGAGAATGAGCCCTGAGAGCTCGAAGGCCACTTTGTGGTCTGCTGCACCAGGAGGGTGACGTTCCCGAGAGCCAGCTGTGTCTGTTCCCAAACCTACTTGCCTGATGTGCACCTGCTTCTGTAACTAGGTAAACTAAACAGTATATAAGCTGAGGACAAATGCGTGTGGAAAGGGAGTCATCTCTCTGAAAACAAAGTTGAATGTTCCAGAAAGACTGGATAAAAGGAGAGCTGCTTTTGCATTAAGAACAAACTTATCGTCAAAGAAGAGGCCTTGGCTCTATAGGAAAAGAATGTTTAATGAATGCAATGTTTATGTTTTTAATTAAAATAAAACATTTATAGTTTTAAACAATAATAAAGGTTATAAAAATAATAATAAAGCAAAAAGATGGATAGGGAGAGTGGAGGGGTGTGGTTTCTAACTGGGGCAGAGGCGGGGTTGGGGCAGGTCTCACTGAAGAGGGGGCATTGGAACGACACCTCCAGCAGGGGAGGGAGGGACCCAGGGGGCTACCTGGGCACATTCCAGGCAGCGGCCGCAGCAGCTGTGGCGGCCGTGTTGCAGGAAGCAGCGAGGCGGCAGTGCGGCTGGGGCTGGGGTGCGAGGGCGGGAGTGTGGGGAAAGGGGTCAGAGTCGCCCCGTGGGCTAGATCCTGCAGGATCCTGTGGGCAGTGTGAAGGTCAACTTCTCCAGCGTGTGTGAGGTTGGGGCCGTGAAGGGTCCGACCTGAAGTAACTTGATCTCATTTTAAGTTTTAAAAACTCGCTCTGGTTGCCTAAGGGAAAAACAGACTATAGGTGGGCCAGTGGGAATCAGGAAGAACCAGAAGGGAAGACGGTTTGTGTGCACGTATCTATAGATACCTCTACACATGTGCGCACGTATTTTCATAAACTTTTAATTAAAGATCCATACAGAAAAATAGGGCCAAAGAAGTATATGGCTCAATCAACTTTTACAAGGTGAACACACCTGTATAAACACTTTCGCTCCCCCTAGGCACCCCCCCACGCCTTCCTCCGGTCCCTCGCCCCCCTTCCCCACCTCACAGGGTGGCCACAGCCCTGATGTAGAGGCCTGTGGGTCCGCCGTGCCTGTCTGAACTTCACATACACGGCATGACAAAGGTGAGCGTCATGGGCATCCAGGTGGCCTACAGCCTGGTGCTGCTGTGAGTGTTCCTGTGTGCGTCTTATGTGCGCACTGCCCTGGGCCACCTCCCTGGGAGTTGAGTTGCTGAGTTTTAAGAAATGCACACGATTGGCTTTACTAGAAAGGCCCACGCTCTTTTCCAAAATGGCTGTGTTAACACTCCCACTCCCAGTACAGGAGGAACATTCCAGTTGCTCCATATCCTCTGCAACTGGTATTTAATTTCTGTTTTGGCAGTGCTGGTGGGCGTATCGTGGTGTCTCATTAAACATTTCACTTGTATTTTCCTGATCAGTGACGAGGCAGAACACCTCATCATGTTTGTTGGTGAAATGACTGTCCTTTGACATTTTTCTGTCGGGTTGTCTATCTCTTTCTTAATGATTCACAGCAGGAGCTGGCAAACTTTTTCTGGCCAGAGAGTAAACATTTTTGGTATTTGCAGGCCGTAATTTTGGCTTGTAGGACTTCTTCACATATTCTGGACATGAGTCCTTCGTCAGTTAAATGGATCACACAGATCTTCTCCTAGTCTGTAGCTTACCTTTCCGTTTTCTTACGGTGTCTTTGGATGAACACTTCTTAATTTTAGTGCAATCTGATGAGTCTATTTTTCCTTTATAACTATACTTTTTGTCTAATTTAAGAAATCTTTGCTTATCTCCAGATCATGAAAATAGCCTCCTATACCTTCCTCCAGAAGTTGTATTGGTTGACCTCGTCCATTTAAAGCTACAATCCATCTGAAGCTGATGCATGTGTATTTTATAAGGTGAGGGTCAAGACTCGTTTTTCCACACTGGGCATCAAACTGACCCAGCACCATTTACGGAACTACACTGACGTCTTTGCTGAAACTCAAATGACCGCTTCCATGTCAGTCTACTTCTGGACTCGCTACTCTATGCCATTGATCGATTTGCCTCTTTTTACACCAAGACCACATCTCAATTACTGCAGCTTTACAGGGAGCCTGGTGTCAGTAATACAAGTCCTCCAGCTTTGGCCTCCAAAATTGCCCATTTTTGTGTTTCCATGTAAATTTTACAATCATTTACATACACATACACACAACCTCCCTCCCGGGATTTTTGTAGCAATTACACTGGGGTTCTGGCCAAAGCTTGACGGAGAAATGGAAAGGACTCACCGATGCAGTGGGAATGGGGGTGAGGCGGGTCAGAATCCAGGGCGACTAAGGGTCTGAGCTGCTGCTGGGGCCCCAGAGCAGGACAGAGCAGTCACAGAGGAAAAGGCTTGGTGCGGGAGTTGCGATGAAGACAAAGCATCTTGTTTTAGACACAGTTTTTAATTTGAGTGTGAGTTGTGTGTGAGACACCCACGTGAAGGTAAAGATTTATGTTTCTTCTACTTTACATACATGTACCAGGCCTATGCTAACCACTTTACATGTTTATTTTACTTACTCTCTAAAAACAACCCTATGAGACTTTTATCCCCATTTAACAGAGAGGAAAACAGAGGCACCAAGACCTGACATCACCTGCCCAAGGTCACACAGCTGGTAGGCGGCAGGCCTCTGTGCCCTTAACCACTGCTGGCTGCTGCCTCCTCGAGATGCTAATCAGGCCGTACACACACACACACACACGAGACGCAGCTCCTCTGAGCCGACTCCCCTTCTGAAGAACGGGGCAGTAGGGTTTTAAAACACTCCTTCCACTCTGACATCCAAGGAGTCTCTACTTTCGAATTAGACTAGAAATACTGAATCAGAGACCTTCCCTGACCCTGGTCCCAGACAGGCGGTGCCCTGAGTGACCCAGGAGAAGACAAAACAGCTGGCAGACACCTAGCTGCGCTGGGCATCTCCTGTGACCACATCCAAGTCGGGCCAGCTGTTCTATCCACCACTGCCGGATCCCGCTGGGACCTCTCGGAGCCCGGTCCTCGGCCTCCCGATCCAGAAGCAGGAACACTGGCCACCTGCCAGGTTCTCTCAGGAGACAGATGTGCCCTCCCACTCTGTCAGCCCAACCCACGTGCAGAACTGAGGAGGGCCTGGCCTTCAGAGAGCTCGCAACGGCCACAAGGCAGCCCTAGAAGGCCCACCTGGAGTCCAGTAAGACCAGGACCGGCTGCCGTCTCTCCAACAGGTATGACTACGCCATGAAGCATGGGCCTGAACTGGGGCAGCCGAAGCTAACTCGGGGAAACTCGGCCGAAGCTGGGAGCGGGTCAGAGGCCCGAGGAAACACTGTTTTCTGAACCCCGGCTGCTGGGGGAAGCGCTTGTTTCAAACAGCCCAGGCCGGGCGGCAGGGACAGGGGGCGCTGGCAGTGGCCTGGGCACTGGCAAAGAAGGCTCTCAGAATGGGCTGAGTGAGAACAGGCAGGAAGCAGGGAGGATGGAGTGGGTGACAATGATGGGGGGGACAGGAGGACAAGAGACAGACCGAGCAGAGTGGGCAGGCATAAAAATCAACTGACGAGACATGCTGATCCAGCCACAGCTAAGCAGCAAAAGAGGCAGAGCAAGGCCCCTAACAAGAAGGACGAAGCCCCAGAACAAGGAGGAAAGGGCAGGGGGAAGGGGCCTGTGGTGGAAGCACCTACTATGCGCCAAGTGCCGCACCTGTGGGATGGCACTGAATAAAAATCCAACATGTGCGGAGGGTACCTTACTAACAGTAAGAGCAGCTACCCCTTCTTTTGTGCACTTCGATGTGCCAGACACAGTTAACACATTCATTCTTCACAATGACTCTGGGGTACATACGATAGTTCATGCTATTTTACAGACGAGGTGACTGAAGCAAAGTCACAGATCTAGAGAAATCACTGAACAGGGATTCAATGATAAGGAACTTCACTCTTAACCAAACATCACAGTATGAAAGGGTTTATCATCCCCATTTCACAGAAGAGAAAACAGGCTCAGAGAGGCCAGGCTGGAAGAGGACACCGAGAAGCCCACGTATGTGCACGGACCGCCCATCATTCATCCTGTGGGAAGTCCTCCGCACGATGCTAGACGGCCAGCAGAAGGACGAGGGAAATGAGGCTCACGTGGTAAGTGACATGGCCAGACCAGAAAGGAAGCTGGAGGTCAGGCTGAGAGCAGGGCCCAGAGTCTGCACCTCCCCTCAGCTGTGGCTTTGGCTAAATAAAGGAGTAAAAGCTCTGCAGAGGTGCTGTTTCATCCCTGAGACAAAGTAACAGGAAGCAGAATTCAGAAAGGGTTGCATTGGTCAGTGAGACAGTCCTCTACCTGCTGGGCAAAAAACCCCTAAAAGGTAGGAGTCTCTCAGCCTACCACCTACCCACCCACCCATCCCACCTTCCACTGATGTCCCCACCCCTCTGTCTCCTAATCTTCCCCTCTCTCCAATCATCCATCCAGCCATCCACTCACCCAGTCACCCAATTACTCAGCCTCCCATCACAGAGTTCAGCTACCCCGGCAACTACCATCCGTCCATCTACTCACCAACACACATCCAGCTGACCACCTATCCACTCATCTCCAAACCTCCATCACCCACCCACCCTCCCACCCACTCATCTACCCCTTGACTCAACAACCATATATTAAGGCCCCAACTCACCTTTCATCTAAACATACCTCTCTGCCAGCTCATTATGTTTTCGTATCCATTTCTCCAACTACGCAATCATCCGTATGTTCCCCCAACTTTCTATCCACCCTTCCATCCAGCCATCTCAGGCCCCTCCAACCACTCAACCACTCACTCATTCACCTACTTTCTCATCTAGTCATAAATCAGTTCATACATCCATCCTCTCTCTCCCCATCTGCCTCCCTCCATCCGCCACCCATTCACTCCTGGACTCTACAAAGCATAAGAAGCTCTGGTGAAAGATACAGAGATGACGAGGCTACTATCCTTTCCCTCCCAAAGTTTAACGATAGAAGGGGCCTCTCCCCTCACACCCTCTACCTTGGATCTTAGAATCACAGGATGTTGGGATCACAAAAAACTTTCAAACTTCCATGTTTGCCCTGGCTGGTGTGGCTGGTGTGGCTGGTGTAAACAGTGCCCAGTGGGCTGGGTGTTGTTCCGCAAACCGAAAGGTCACCAGTTTGATTCCCCATCAGGGCACATGCCTGGGTTGTGGGCCAGGTTCCCGGTTGGGGGCGTGCAAGAGGCAACTGATCAACGTTTCTATCTATCTCACGTCAATGTTTCTCTCCCTCTCTTTCTCCCTCCCTTTCTTGCTCTTCAAAAATAAATAAATAAAATATTTTTTAAAAAAAACAAACCTTCCATGACTGTCTCAACCTGCACAGTCCAATATGGCAGCCACAGTCACATGTGGCTAGTAAACACGTAAAACATGGCTAGTACCAATTGAGATGTGTGGTAAGCGTAACATACAGGGTGGGACAAAAGTGGGTTTACAGTTGTTTGCATGGAAAATAATACAGTAATTAATAAATAATAAAAGAACTCTGCTTCACATACTCACAACTGTAAACCTACTTTTGCCCCACCTTGTACATACCACACCTTAAAGATTTAGTGTAAAATTTTTTTAAAAGAATGAAAAATATCTCTCTAATAATTACTTTTAAAGTTGATTATGTTAAATTGATAATATTTGGGAATACAATGAGATAAACAAAACATATTATTTAAATTTATTTCACTGGTTTCCTTTCACTTCGCGTGGCTGTTTTAAATAACCACTTTAAATTTTAAATAACGCATATGGCTCACATCATATTCCTATTGGACAGTGCTGATCCAGAACAGCTCGGAAGGGACGAGGAGGCCCAGGGAGGGATGGCGCCCCCATGAGGGACTGCCGGGGTTTGACCCAGTCCCGGCCGCCTGGCCCACCTGGGCGCCCGGCCCCCAGCCACTCACCTGGATTTCCGCTTGCAGTAGACAAGGAGGTTGTCGAAGAGGAAGAAGGCCCTCTCCTGGATGTTGCCTGCGGAGATTTTTAACAAGGTGCCTTGCAGGAGGAGCTGGGTGCAGATGTCCGTGAGGTTGGAGCCCTGGGAGGGTGACAAGGGGCAGAGCGAATGAGCTGGCAAACCCAGGACACCTGGGGATACCCCCTTCCCACCCAGAGACAGAACCTCCCACTGCCTCCCTCACACCCCAGAATCTCAGTGGCTGCTGCGGGCAAATCTGTCAGCAGACAGAAAACCAGTACAGTCTGATCAATGGCTTCCAGCTGGTGAGCGAGCCCGGGCAATGCTGGGAAGAGCGGACGGAGGTGACCATTTCACACAACAGGGGCTCGGGGCTCAGGAAGTGAAAGGACTCCCCCAGTCGCACAACCCGGGTCAGCATCTACTTTCCTTCTGTGGTTTTTTGCCATGCCTTTCTCCTTGCTTATTTATGTCTTGACTTATTCCATCTCCCTCCCCCCCGACCCCCGCCCAAGACTCCTCTTCCATAAACCCAGGAAGCACCACTGAACACTTTTGTCAGGCATCTGCCATTGTATTCCCAGCACCTACCACACTGTCCGGCACACAGTAGGTGCTCAATAAATGCTGTAGAACAGGTGACGAAGGCAATGCAAACACCATGAAGGCAGGATTCTGAGAGCACTCACTCTAGCTACGGATGTGAGTCTAGATGGGAACAGCTCCCAAACTCCGGCAGGTCATCTAAGTGACGAGGGCCAGGGAGGGCGGGGGTGGCCGAGACCCTACGAGTGTCCGAAGTTCACTGAACCTCCAGGAGGTTCAGGACAGTGTGGTCAGGAAAGGCATCAGGGAGGAGTGCGGCGGGCCTGGGAGGAGGGCTAAAATAAAGAGGGGGGGGGTGCGGGTGCGGGCAGGGGAGGGGCGGGTCCCTGCAGGGAGGAATCCTCAGAGCCAGGGGCCATACACGTCTGTCTGGGGCTCTGGGGGGACCAAGCCAGGGGCAGAGAGATCCCCAAGTCCTACAGGATAGGGAGCTAGAAACAGATCTAGGAGGACACAGAATGCCAGCTAAGACAGCCCCTGGCTGTCCCCCAAATCCTTGCTCCTCTTCTGTCATAAGAATAGAGTTTTAGCTGATCCTTGTCTGCCTGACCACAGACTCCATTTCCCAGCATCCCTTGCTGCAGGTGTGGTCTTCTGACGAAATTCTGGCCAGTGTGCCTCACTTCTACATCATTTCCTTGAAGGAGGGTCGCTCCCTCTCCTCTTCCTCCCTTCCCTCTTGCCACAGGCCGGAGGACGGCCACAGTGGTGGTGGAACACGTAGCAGGTGGGGGAAGGAACCTGGGTCCCCATGGAGCAGAGCCGCCCCACCCCCCGGCCTGCACTGCCACAAACTCTTATCTCATGGAAGCCATTGACTGTCTTTCTTCCAGCTGCTAATCGTGGACTTTAACTAAAACGCCGTGACAAGGTCGTAGGCCCATGACAGGCGGGCCGTGGGGTGTTTCAGACTCTGAGGCCCGAGGGCTAGTATGTAAAGGCAGTGTTCTAAGGGGGGTTCATTCCACAGACCCGCTGATGGCAGCGAAGGGAGAAACAAAGAGACATGATGCTGTCTCTGCGTGGCCATGAACTTGGGGATGAAAGAGGGAGAATTATTCACAGAACCTTCTTCCACAAACATTCAACACCCAGAACAAGAAGTTCAGACCCCAGTGAGATCAACTGACTCAGTCATTTCTGAGACCCAGTAAGGGGAACTGGTTCTGACAGCTCAGAAATCAGGCTGTTTGGTGACTGCCCACCGTGGTTGGCCTGCGGCGGTCAGAGCTGGTTTGCTCTGCGCCCCTGGCCCAGCTGGGCACAGAGCATCCATTCACCCAGCAGTGCCAGAGACACCTCTTGGGCCCGCTCAGCATTCTGGGAAACCAGCTTCTTGGTGGCCCAAGCCTGTGCAGCCCAGGGCAGGGGCTCGCGGCCATTCGCAGGGATCACTCCTAGGTGCTGGCCGGTACTCGGCCCCCCAGTGAGACAGCAAGCCCGCCACACCAGCGCCAGGGGCTCCCCTATCGCAGGGCCCCCCCATCGCAGGGCCCTCAGACCCCAGGATCCTTGCAAAAGGGGTGAGCGTGACTCCCCAGGTCATGAGGCTCCATCAGTGACCCGTGGGCCAGCTCAGGGCAGACAGCAGTACGGCAGCTCCTCGAGACCTCGCGCCTCCCTGTCTCATCCCCGTGCCCCACTGGTGCCTACCCACCAGCCCCTCCGGCCTCCTCAGGGGGATTCTGGCGCCTGTATGGGAAGCTGGGACCTGGCCCATCTGCAGGGCCCAGAACCCAAAGGTCACACGCCTAGGCCTGACCCCTCTGTCAATGTCAGGGGGCCACAGAGAGGAAACGTGCCCAGCCTGGGAAGCCAGCTCTCCAGCCTCGGCCAACGATCACCCCACACACCGCATCTGAAATGCTAAGGGTGCTACAGGGGGTGCTCCTTCCGCCCCAGCCCTGTTGACATGCCCAGCTGGCCCCCGGTCTCCCCAGAATCCTTGAACCCAGGTCAGGGGTGGTAAGGATCAGGTACACGGGGAAGAGGCTGAGCACCAACCTGTCCCCCAGGCACAGCTGGGGACCTCCCGCAGATGGGGCGGGCTCGACCGAACGGAAGGAGCAACACGCAACAATGACCAAAGCTCACACAGGCACAGGGCTGACCACACGCCAGCTACTGCTCTCAGTGTCTTACACAAACTCAGCGAATCCGCTTGGCAACTCCTGTTTTACAAATGAGGAAACGGAGGCACAGGGCAGTGAAGTGACTTGTTCAAGCTGGGATTTGAACCCAGGCAGGTGAACCCACCATCCTACCCACTAACCTCTGCTACCCCGGACTATATCTTGGAAGGTAACCGGCAAAGTTTTTGTGTGCAATCGTTGGTCAAGAGCAGGGGTCTCAGAAGGGGAGAGGCCACACGCCTCTGGGAGTAAAAGGCATCCTGGGCAGGGTGGGAGGAACATATGAGGACTTCTATTCACAGTCTCACGGTCTTTTTTTAAATGACTTTGCTTCCTTGTTCCTGTTTCCTTCTGTCCCCTCCTGGGTGAGTAGGGGACTGGCTCTTAAACCAGGACTCCCAGAGGCAGCAAGAGGGGTGTGCCCTAGTTTTTTCTTATAATACACATTTCTCTTTATTACTGTGAGCATCACGTGACTGTCTGTGGGGCTTACATCTGGAGTGGCCCCTGATGAAAGGTCAGCCCAGGCTGGGTGTGAGCTCTTGCCAAAGTTGCATGATGTTTGTTCATCTAAAAAAATTAAGAAAGAAATCCTGCTTCGCTGCCACGGCTCGTCCGATGTTTACTGAGCATCTGCACTCAGCCAAGAAAGTAATCACGGTTCTGAGTGCTTTGCATGCATCCCCTCCCTGAATCCCCAAGTGACTCGTAAGGGGTACAGCCATTATCCAGACTTCTCGGATGAGGAAACCGAGGCAAAGGAATCCCTCCACAGAGAGGGGGCTGCCTTGTTCACTCACTTTCCCAGTATTGCAACATGCTGCCCTTTCCTTGTGCTTAGCAGAATTAATTCATGGATTAACTTATCTGGTTTTAACTAAACCAGTCTCACGACTAAAAAGGACAAGTGGCTTAAAAAGGATCAGGCCCCAAAAACCCACAGATCGGATATCAAACTAATGGTGCAAGCCCAAGCGCACAGCAAGAAAGTGGCCCAGAAAAGGCTCCCCTCCTCCAAAAGCAAGTCCCTTGCCAGCCATGTTCCGAGAGAGACAACAGCCATCTAATCAGATTGGCAGGAAGTCAAACAAAAAGATTAGAAATTATCAAGAAGGGTATCAGAAATACGGGTTTGCAACCACTATCATTCACCGTGAACGACACCCTAACTCATACTGTCCCTTGAGACTGTAACTACTGAAGGCACAAAGCCAAGGCAAGTAGCTTCACTCCTAAACACTATTTTTTTCTAGCTAAAACATATTATTTTCACAAGTCACCTTGAGGATGAAACTCTATTTAAAAACCCTTCTATCGCACAGACAACCATTTCACATTTTCCAAAGAACATCTGTATTCCACACTTCACTTCATCCTCAAAATGACACCAGAAGATAAGTTCAGAGACAGTATTACTAAAATGAGACAACCAGGGGAAAGAAGACCAAGAGAACAGACAAACTAGCCTCAGGCAGGGCAGTCTGCGAGTTACAGAGCTGGGCTTCCGATCCAATCCCCTGTGCCTCAGTGTCCTCATCTGTACCTCCACCTCCCTCCTAGTGGTGGGAGCACGGAACGAGTGCTCAATAACTGCCAGCAAGTCTTTTTCTGAGTCACTTTATTTCCTGCTGTACTGATCAAAATAGGGGCCATTCTCAAATTGCAGAATTTCCTGGGACAAAAGGGGCCCCAAAGACCCTTAGTTCCTATTTCCCTGGGCCTTTACCAGAAGAAGAAATCTGGAAATCACTTCTGCTCTGGCTGCCAAATTGCTTGCTCAATACCCTCTCCACAGGGGCCCATGTGAGAAATTTCTTTTCCAGCTGGTTGCCAGGAAACTCTCTATCTCCCAGAAGAACTGCTCTACTTCTTCCCTTTTTGACTATGAATGTTAAGTAACTTAAGCGCCCGGCTCTTTTCATCTTGGCTGCCAGGAAGCTCCAAGTCCGAACAGGTAGATGCTTATATATGTCAACAATATTTGCTCTTTAGGGTAGCACGTTTGCTGAAAGTGGCCATGGGACCCACTTCTGGCCAATGAGATGAGGGGGACGTCTCTGCGGGGCTCTGGAAAACATTTTCCCCTACTGGAGAGAGGAGCTCCCTCTCACTGCCCTGGCTGTGTCCTTGTCCCCTCCCGCTTTGGACACATGACGCCTGGAGCTGCTGCCCTCCTGGAACCATGAGAAGAAGGCCGGTGGGATCGCAAGAGGCCAAATCAGAGCTCTGACATCATGAGGCTGAAAGAGGAGCCCTTATAGAACACATCCGAACAGATGTACCTGATGATCAGGCAGTTTTCAAGTGCAGGAAAGAAAAACCAAGCTATGCATTTTAAACAGAAAGAAATAGGGGCTTCCTCCATCAGTGAGGAATTAGAAGAGGCAGGAGTCTAGGCCGGGGCTCCCAGCAAACCGAGAACACAGCAGAACTGCCCCTCCAGGGGCCACCGCGTCTGCCCCAGTGGGAAGAGAGAGTCACAATGGCACCTGCCTGAGCTGATACCCCAGAAGATGCCAGCCTGGCTGCAGCCAGTCTCTCGGGAGCTACTGCCTCAAGTGTCAGCTGCAAAGCCACCCTGTCCTGCTAGGTGCACGCCACCCACCACAGAAAGGAAAGCCTGCGCCCTGTCTCCTGACACCCAGGAAGCTGGAACCTGGCCCTCTGCGAAGGCTGCCACAGAAAGCCAAACACGACCGGGGCTGTGCTTTGCTGCAAAACAGCGTAAGGATGGCCTCCATCCGCTCCCGCCTTCCGAATGTTAAGCAGCTGGATCTGATCTTGGCCAATCACATCCCAACCCTGAGCTGCAAGGGGGTGTGAGAAATGCAGCTGAAGGCCCAGGGGAAGGAGGAAGGGGGACGTGGCAAGCACTCATCCAGGACCTCCACCTCTCTCCTCAACACCGGCCCCTCTCCTCTCCGCAGCCAAGCCCTCGGCCTCTTGTGACACACTGAAGGTTCCCCCACACGGGAAAGAAGTAGAAATCCCAAACACAGCAAGTGCAAGAAAGCCCAAAGGCAGATGATTCAGAGGACAATGTGTGTCCAAAGAGGCTTTGATCTCTGCTCTTAATCTCCCATTCCAGCTGTATTTACTCTGATATTGATGTTTTTATTTATTCAGATTTTCCCATTTCTTTCTACGGATCTGTAGGAAATCTCTAATAATCCAAAGAAGATGTGAAGGTTTAAACAAATAAATTACACACAGTCAGAAGATCTCAAGAATCCCAGCCTCTAATAAGCATGACAATAATAATATCAATACCTACCATGTATTGAGTACCTACTATGTGCCAGGTATCAGTGAGGAAACTAAAGGCTGGAGAAATTAAGATACTGACCTAAAGTCACCCAGTAAGGGAATGGCAGAGCCAGCATCCTGTCTTGAAATGAACCTTTACTTTGGTATCAAAACATCAAAGGACTATGGGCATCACACACAAAAGGCAACACCTGAAGGAGAACTGGGGCGCAATGGGGACTGGTGGGAACTGAGGAAAACTGGTGGCTTCAGTGACTATTACCGTAGAAAACACGGACCCAGTTTACTGACTTTTCAAGAGAAACTCGAAGTACAGATTTTTATGTGGACTTAGCTGGAAAATCAATGAACGACTTTTTTTTACAAACACTATGTCGGTCAAACAAAATACACTGAAGGCTGGATCTGGTGCCCAGGCTAAAGTTTGTTCCTGCAGCCACACACTCCTTGTGCCCCTCACCAAGCCAGGGCCCCTCCCACCCCAGACACACCTCCCAGCCTTCGATGTGGGACTGCAGCTGCTCCAGGGCCTCCAGCTTCTCCATCTGCCGCTTGGTCTCATTGATGTTGGAGCACACGGTCTTCATGGCCTGCAGGGCGCTCTGGACCGCGGGGTGGTCCGGGTGCTTGCCAGGGGTCCTCTTGGCTAGCTCCTAGGGAAGAAGTGAAGGCAGGAGTGAGAGACAGCAACCTGGTGGGAAGCAAACGTCGCCTCCCGGTCACGCAGCCTGGGCCAGATCCCAGATCTGCTACGTGCAAACTGTGTCATCTGGGGCTGGGGAATATCATCTGTTCGTTCATTCATTCATTCAGCACGTGTCCCTTGAGCCCCTCCTCCACAGCCAGCAGAGTTCGAGGACCTGGGGAGAAAGCTGTTAATAAAACAAGAGAGAAATTGCTCACCTGGAGGGTATTATATTCTATAAAGGAGATCAGTCAAAATAAAAAAAAATCAAGTATATAATTCAATGTCAGACAGGGATAAATACTATGAAGACAAATCAGAATGAGAGAGAGGGCTAGAAGGTCTAAGGAAAGGATGTAATCTTCCCAACAGGGAGCTCAAGAAGACCCCTCTGAAGAGGTGACATCTGAACAGAGGCTCTTGGTGAAGCAAGGGACAGAGTCCTGCAAAAATCTGCGGGCAAAGTGTGCCTGGGAGAGGGACACAGCAAATGCAGAGGGTACAAGGTGGGAGCAGACGTGGCCGGTGGCAGTGAGTGGAGAGGAGGTGGTGTGGCCAGAGCGAACACATGAGAGAGAGAGGAGGACAGAGAGGAGCAGAGGGACAGGGCAGAGGGAGATCAGCAGGTCAGGGAGGCGGTCGTTGACACTGCCCCTGCCCAGCCATTTTCCCATCTGTGAAACGGGTATAAAAATTACCTGGCCTCAGGGGCCGGGTGTGAAAGGCAAAGGGATTAGGAAGTGCCAATTAGTACCCACGGAATAGTCACAGGGATACAAAATACAGCGCAGTGGATACAGTCAACAGTGTGATGCCATGCATGGTGTCAGCTGGGAACTAGACTTATCAGGGGGATCACTCCGTGAATTATATAGATGTCTAACCACTCGCTATGCTGTATACCTTAAACTAATATAAAATAGCATTAAATGTCAACTGCAGGTGAAACAAAACCATGGCTTGTCCTCACAGGGGCATGGCGGGGAGTGCAAGGAGGCCAATCGGGCCAGACCTTGAACCCGTGACCCCCCCCACCCCGCCCCAAGCACAGGCAGGTACATTCTAAAAGGCAGCCAGGCTTAATCCAAGGGTTTCAGCCACCTGCCAAGTGTGGTGAGAGAGAAACTGAGAAAGAAGGGGTTAGCTGGCCCTGAAGATGTCAGGGAAGATTTTCAGGCTGTCACTGCGCCAACAGGACCCTGCCAGCAAATGTACGTTTCTTTGGTCATGTGACCCAGATACGCCCAACGGTTCCAGTATCTCCCCATCTCTCTGCTCCTTAAAACATCACAAAGGTGAGGTCCTGGCGTGGTGGTCCCGAGCACAGCCACACTCGGTAGCTGGGTGACCTTGGGCCCGTCACCCTCTGTGCCAAGCTGTTTCATCCCCTGGAAACCAGTGATGATGAGGATGATGGTGGTGATGGTAGTGAGGACGGCAACAGCTGACACCTACTGAGCCTTTCCTCTGTGCTGGAGAGGCAGGTTCTATTATTATCCCACTTAACAGCCGGGATGACTGAGGCCCAGTGGGGTAGCCCAAGGCCTCCCAGCAGCAAGAGGAGGAACCTGGATTTGACCCCAGCCGTCTGGTTCTTTGCTCGTGGTCACGGTGAAGGGTCAATCAAATACCGCAAGAAAAGCACCTCCATGGGAGGTACATACTTGGCGAGCACTCAATCTTAGCACAAGCGAAAGCGCGGGGGCGGCGAGAAACAGCAAGGCCAGGGAGGCTGCCGCAGGGTAAGCAGCGGAGGGGAGGACGGGCGCGTGCCGGGGCCAGATCACACAGGGCCATGGAGGGGTCTTTGGGTTTCGTCCCAAGAGCATGGGGGAGGTGACGGGGGCTGTGAGCTATGGCCTGACACTGTCCTTTAAAGGGCCCCTGTGGCTGCTGAGCTGAGGAGGCACTGGAGGAAATGCAGGTTCCTGGGAGGCAGAATCTGGGCCCTGACGGCAATGAGCCACCACGCTCCCCCCGGGCTGCCTAGTACAGAAATACACTTACACATAAGTCACTGTTAATTGGGTCCATGTCACTGCGGCTAAAATACGTGTATCCTAATACAAAAGAGACCCCATCTTGGGATGTCACCTGGGGTAAACGCGCCATGACACTGTGTTCTCCCTTCTGTTGGCTCTAAGGAGCTTGGCGACGGTGGAAGACAGTGAGTGAGTTATCCCCTCTTGACCGATGAGGAGGCTGAGGCTCACCCGACGGTGAGGTCACTTGCCCAGGGTCACAGGTGACTAGGGGAAGAGCCGATCATCCAAGCCACACAGCCTAGCTCCGGAGGCCATGTTTTTAACCACTGCTCCATGCCTTCCCATCCTGTGTCCGTGTCCTGAGGTACAGAGAGGGGAGGCCAAGGCCACAGAGCCAGAAAGTGCGACTGGTGGATGCTTACCCACGTCTACAGACCCCTCCAGAAACAGCAGTAGTAGGAAACAAACTCCCCCCAGAACCAGGCTCTCAGAACACAAACGTCTGAGCGGGGTCAGGGCTTGGGGAATCCCTAGAAAAACTGAGGGCAGAGAAGGAAGGGGGTGTGCCCAGGGCCACCCCACACATGGCAGTGAAAGCCCCTCCAGAGCCAGGCTAGCGGCCTTCCCCAACATCCGCCCATGAGCCCCATGTGGTTTCACAAGCAGGAACTGAGGAAAGCACTTCCTAGAAGAGAGGATGTCGGAGCACAGGAACCCAGCCTTTCTGCAAGGTCCCCCCTCTCCCTCGCTCCCCTCCAACCACACTGTTACCAAGAGGCAGTCGCTGCGGCGGGCTGCCAGCAGCCCCGTCATGCCCCAGAGGCGTGGGCCCTGTCCACAGCAAGGCCACAGGAGGACAGCCTGGGACACAGGGCCTCAAACTCCACGCCAGCCAGAAGACAGACCCATAAAACCACAACGTAAAAACAAAGCTTCATTTGGCACTGGGAGAAGTGACAATATCCATCACTCGCTGTGACTTGGGGTTGGTGGAAGCTCAAAAGGAGACACTGCAGCTGGAAAGCCATTCTGTCCTCTCCACAAAGAGAAAGAGGCGGCTTATGGGAGTGGAGGGTGTCACGAGTGGGGACTGGATCAACAGAGGACACTCGCTTCCTGAGGACACTTCGGCCAGCCCCAGGGGGGACTGATCTTGCCCCCAACTCTTGGCTCTGTCCAAAGGCCTCTGCCCAAGATGCCACCATCGAAGCTCAGGATGCTGAGCTGTTCTATTAAGCACTCTCCTGCACTTGCAGCTCTGGGGTCCCCTCATGCCATATCTAAGGTGGCAGCAGGATTCAAAGGCTGAGGCTCTGACAAGGGCGACCACCACTTACAGAAAAACAGAAAAGAAGAAGCGAAAGACATCTGGAAGTCTAAGAAAACCCAGAAGTGAAAAGCTGTCCAGCACAGCAAAGAAAACCTCAGGCCTGCAAACTCTATGAAAACTTCATGCAAATATATTTCTGATTTTAACAATTTTAGCCCCTGCTTCAAGGCTGGGAGGAGGGTAAGCCCCACGGATTAGGAATTAATGGAGGAAAAGAGGCAATGCTCACGGGTCCTAAGAACTCCATCCACCCTTCCACTGGGAGAGGTAAGAGGAAACCGTGGGGCGAGGGCTCAGGGCGAGAGTTCACATTCTGGCTTTGACCAGGACATACCGCATGACCTTAGGCCTGCAGCCTCCCACTTCTGAGCCTAGGTCTCCTTGCTATGCGGTGCAGGGACTGGCTCGGAGCCCAGGTCACAAACCAGGCCCCGCAGGCCAAATGCTATTGTCAGCCTCTGTCAGTAAAACAGAGGCTCTGGCCTCCCTGGGCCCATGCTTCCCCGGGCCCATGCTTCCCCGCATCAGTAACAACTGGCCTGAACGGTGGCCACCCCCTTAGGTGGGACAGGTGCTCCACAGTCCAGGACAGCACCCGCCCCACTGAGTCGCATCTAATCTACTCCCTTTCCTCACGTGCTCTGCCGGCGCCCGTATCTGACATCCTGGATCGGCAGGGCTCTGCCAACATCCAGTGGGAGGGTGTCAACATTCAGTGGCTCTATATCCAAATTCCAAAGGAGGCCTATGAGGAAGGCGAAGACACCACGGACTGTGCAGAGCCCCAGGCTGCACCCTGAGCAGCCCTTCTGCAGAGCGGCCCTGGCACACGCCTAGCATGTCTTGCTGTAAAAGGCTGCATGCTGCACTCCTAATTTCAGGCGTTTCTCAAGAAGAGAGACGTGGTGGTGGTGGTGGTGGTGGTGGTGGCGGCAGTGGCTATAAATTCCAACTCAGCAGAAGCAAAATACAATGGAATAAAAAGAAAAAATAACTAAACCAAAAACAAAACACTAAACTATGCAAAATAAAACAAGGGGGGAAAAAAGAAAACAAAAATCGAAAAGAAAGATGGTAGAAATCAGCGCAAATATATCAATAAATGCAATAAATATAAGTGGGTTAATCTCTCCTGTTAGAAGACAGGGATTGACAGGTCCAATTTTAACATTCTAACTTTACGCAGTTTACAGAAGAAGTACCTAAACCCTAAGGATAGAGAATGGTCAATAGTGAAAGGATGAAACAAAATATATCATGAAAATACTAATCAAAAAAAAAAACAACCCCACCATATTCCCCAGTTCTATTAATATTAGACAAAACAGATTTTGAGACAATAAAAATAGCTGATACTTACTAAGCACTTAAAAGCACATTACAGGTATTATTTTGTTTAATCTTCACAATCACCCATGACTAAGGCACTATCTGACAGAGGAGGAAACTGAGGGACAGAGAGCTTAAGTCACTTCTCAAAGGGGCAACATTAATCAATGCATGAGATGGAATCAATAAAAATAAAAATCATTAAAATATTAGAGTAGCTAACATTTACCAAGTATGACTATCTATCTGGTAATATGCAGAGTGTTCTCATGCATTTTCTCATGCATTGTCTTTGCAGCAAGCCTGGGAGGCAACTACCATCCA